AACGATGAATGTATTGATTTTACAACGATGTGTGTTTTTTTTTTTAAATTTTTTTTTGTGTCTGTCGTCACCTTTTAGGACAGTAAAAATGCTTGACTTTTCTTCAACAGTATCTTTTCTGATAGAAAAGTAAATCTAGTTAGTACTATGGGGGGGTCAAAAGTAAAATTTTTCTAGTATTTTTCAAAAGCACAGTGAAAAACAAAAGAAATAATAAGGAAAAACGGGAATTTTACACAAAATCTGTTTTCGAAAAAATCAATTTTGGTTTTTGGTGCAACTCTTAAACAAATGACCGTAGGTACATGCAATTTTGACTGAATGTTTATATTAGTATTTATTATACACCATAAAATTTTCCAAATATTTTGACTTATTTTGAGCTGTTTACGGACATTTTCAGTTTCCATTTTTTTTAGTTTTTTATCTATAAATATCAATAAAATTGTATTTGTTGGGTAAAAAGCTTCAAAATTTACATTTTAATGCTATGCTCCTATTATATTGTTACAATAGCAGTTGAAAAATATTAAAAATACATATGCACAATTTTTTTTATAAGCATTTAAAAGTCAAATTTTGACAAAATTTATCAAATTTAAAATGTAATAATTATTTTGTAGTGAATAATTTATAAAATGTTCAACTTTTATAGCTAAGGATTGAAAATTTAAAACAAGATTCCACGTAAATTATTAAATTAAATTATTCCACGTAGCTTATATTATATAAATTACTTTATTCACAATAATATCATCAAATATACCTACTTCTTAATATCATAGGCTTACTGACCATTTTCAAAACACCATTCAATACACCATTTTAACACCATCCATTACAGTGACCTACTGGCTACTTGTAACCTACCGTACAGCAGAGCGACATCCACTTGACCACTTTTTTCAACTATTATAATATTAAACCATATTATTATTGGCAGTGTTTGGAAGGAACGGATTCCTGGAACAAATTCCTTTTTATAAAAGGAAAAAATAACAAAATTTTTCATTCCTTTCTAATTCCAATAATTTACACAGATATGTAAATAATTGAAATTAAGTTATACTTTTTTTTATGTGTATAAATGTATAATGCATATTGCCAATTAGTGATCGTTATCGAGTATCGACTTTATAATGGTTACTTATAAGTCATTATTGTCACTTCATTAATATTTATCATAAGTTATAAGTTATAATTTATATAGAAATGAGTACTTTTATAAAATATAATTATTTATATCAATCAACAATAAGAGAGTTGGCCAACAATTTAATTTGGAAGAAAATCTCAAAATGGAATTATAAAATATGTTGGTACCTACTTGTAGGTACCTATACATATATTATAATTGAAAATTAAATAGTATGCATATGAAAAAAAACATTAATGATTAAATAAGAATTTTTATTTTACGGAACAAGAAACGGAAAGAATTCTTTTTTTTTTTTTAAAAAAAAGATAGAGGAACAGAACGAATTCCTTTTAAAAGGAACTTGCCAAACACTGAATTTATTGGCTATTGCAGTATTGCTATTAATTTATAAGTCAATACTTAACAACATAATTTTAATTACAAGTGTTTACAAAAAACTGAGTCTGTGTATTTTTGACATTTTTTAATTGCTATATAAGTAATCGAGGAATTTTGTCCTTGTATTGCATTTTCATGTTAAAATAAATAATTTCAAATTTATATAATATATAGTACATAGTAATATAGTATATATTATAAACTTTAGTAATATAAAAGCTAAAATACACTAAATTACATCTAAATATGCTTGGTTCTGTGGTTATTCCTTATTAAATTACAAAAAAAAAAACAAAATCAGTTAAGTCAGTGGTTTTGCAGAGCCCCTTAATTGAATATAGATTCCGTGGTCCTTGGGGGCTGTGGTCAAATTATTGACTTGTACGAGTACCTGTATGGTAAATTTATTGGATTGGGAGAGTTTAGATTTCAAGAGTAGTCTTAAGAGCGTAGGTATCTAATATTAGAAATTTAAAACAAGATTTTTCTTTTTATAAAGATCACTATAGTGATTAATGGGTTAATACTTAATATGCTTTAAATCTAGCAAATAAAGCATTTGAGTGCACATGTGAGGTAGCTACTGAGGTTATAACTTATAGTTTATACTATTATAGTATCATAATAGTATTTATAATTTAACTATTTTTAACAAATGGATTGATTCCTATTTTATAATTATTGATAGCCGTTAGGTGATAGTAAAATATACTTGTGTATGGATAATGGATTAATATTCTTATTATATAGGATTATAGGATAGAGTCACACAGGTCTGCGTATTTATTGGTGTAGATAGAAACATGAGTTATGAAACTTGTGTATGTAAGTAGGTTGTAGGTTGTAGGTGTAGGTAGATATAGGTATAGGTACCTTAGGTTATTGTTTCTTTATTACTAGGTAGGTATAATACAAAATTATTGACCCATACAACATACTGCCATAGTGCCATACATAATACATATAATATATTTATTAGTAGGTAAGTACCTATGTTATAATTTCATACAAGGTTTATTCAAAGTAAATGTAGTTATTAAATATGGTAAAATACAGGTAATTTAAATTTCTTATGTAGGTATTTATACTATATTGTCTATATTGTAATTAATAGAAATCCTTCCAATTTAATAATTAACTAAGTTACATCGGCATGTCACATTACAATAATACAACCGCAATTTATTCATATTATATCGTTGAATTTATTTTACAAGCGAAGAAGACTATATAGATTCCATTACCCAATGTCCCAATTGTCAAAAAGTACCTACTATGACAGCATGTGAAATATGGTAAATAAACAATTATTTGCGAATTTATTTTCGATGAAAGATACCCTTTATTGCCCTCCTGGAAATGAATTGGATAAATCTGTATTTAGTTTCCAAATTGGTTCCCTAAAATTTTAAACTCCTTCAGAAAGTGTTTCATAAACAAATCTAAAAATATTATAGATATATCGGTAAGTTCCTCGCACATGTAGGTATATAATATTTTAACTGTATCAACTATCAACAAAATATGGTAATTATTAAATAGAATATTATTAATAAAATGATATCAATATTATGATAATAATAAACAACTAATCTTTGATTTTAAATTTAAATTATCCAATTTATCATTACTATTAAAATATATTATTGTTAGATATTCAAAAATTTGTAATTACTATTTCGTAATTTTGTGCAAAACGACCTTTGTAGATTCTATAGAATAAAGAAAAATTCTCTATAATAAGTAATAACGATCATAAGCTTTTAAATTGTAATATGTACCAACCCGGCTACTTCTACCTGGCGTCCTACAACAGTACAACCTCCCAAATTATTACAAAATTATTTTAATTCATCTACAAAATATAAAAATAAAAACGATAGGTCATAATTATAAGATGCATAAAAATGTACCTATAATAGTAGGTCATACGCTATTGCGAGTGATTTTTTTTTAATATTAAGTATAGCCGTTATTCATCCGAATCCGAAGTGATGTCTTACGAGGGAGGTTAAAACATGACGTGAAGACGAATAATAATAATTGTTTGTCTGCAAGAGGAGCTTAGGTGGGAAACAGCACACAAATAACGAGTTATTCTAGACGCTTGTTTGAATATTATGCACAGGTCAGATATAAATCAATAATGAGTATATTATTAGACAATCTCCATGAAGGTTAAGTTCCCTTTCTTTCCGCAATTGGGTTTGTATATTCTTTGTGTGGTAATAGTCTTTATATGTTGTACTGGACAAAGGTATCATCGACTACTGCTGCAGTACTCAACTTGATATCGTGTGCTCAGCTCATACTTCAACATTTGACTCGTAATTCGATATATTCAACAAATAGGTAACATAATATTTTAAGTAATTAATTTAATAAAATTAATTTACATAAATACTATATAAATTATATTATATTATATTAGGTATGTAAATTTAATTTTTTCTATGACTTAAGTATATGATTTTCGTATATTAGTTAAGTTGTGATTGTAAGTAAGTTAAAGCATGTGATATTTAACAATATATACGAATTTATGTGAGATATTTCAAGTTAAACAATTACTTAAGTAGTATGTATTCAACAACTATGTAACAAATAATGGAATCTATTTATATTATAAAATATATTTTATACTATTCATATTTTAGGTTATCAATATAATACACCTAAAACATAAACAATTAAATATTTTTTTTGTTTATTTCGTGTTACGAATTCACATACGATCATAATTTTTATTAGAATAACTAGGTATGTACAAATTAAGTTTGCCATTAGTACCGTTTTCTTATTATTAAATTACTGTGTTCATTATTCTTTTCTTATAAAAAAAATAATAATAATAATAAACATAATGTTCTTTTATAAATTTAAATACATTAAAAAATATATTACATATACAATCTCATACAGTAATCAATAATATTTTTTTTAACATTTCAATTTTGTTCATACACCCTGGTATAAAGATAATATTATGTAATATTTACCTAACAATAGAAACAATAATAAACCATTGGCATAATATCACAAGTATTAAAAAACCAATCGAGTTAAAAATAATAACCAAGTATAGTCTTATAGATGATAATATTATATACCCGTCTAATTATTAAAATGCCGTCTGAAGTATATGTTTCAACTGGAGAACGGCGATAAATATATAAGTAGGTACTCACTCGGCCTGTATAATATAAAATGTATTAATAATTTCGTATGCCTTCAAAAAATTGTGTACATAATGTTTGTATGTCGGTAGATAATATTATACATGCTGCCTATCGTGTACCAACGTATTTTTATAAGAATACAAATTTCAATACCTACCAATAATCAATTAAATTAACTTATGGCATAGCTGTGTGAATATTGAAAATAATTTAAACCTATTATAATATACGTTTAAACAAAATAATCTGTACCCGGTGTGTTTTTTGTGCGTTTTTCAGTCAGAATGATGGTGGTAAACGCTAAATTAGCTCTGGTGTTGGTGTCGGTGGCCGCTTTCGGTTACTTGCAGACTGCCTTGGCTTATTCCGAAGGCGCACCTTTGGAAGTGTGCACCGACTTGATGCCCCAGCACGGAGCCCCCGCCCAGACCAAAGAATCGCCCTACACCTTAACGCTTAACCGCAAGTCCGTGAAAGGCGGTGAATCAGTAACGCTGACACTCGCCTCCAAAGACTTTTCCAAATTCAAAGGCTTCATGGTCCAGGCTAGAGATAGCAATGACAAGCCCATGGGCTCGTTCACGTCTATGCCCGCTTCCAAGAACAACGCAGAGTTCAAGGGAAAATGGAAGCTCCTCAGTTGCCCAGATGGACCGACCAACGTGAGTGCACAACATAATAATAGACAAATATTATAATAGACGAGCAGATAGCATTATATAGAAACAGTACCTATATAGGTTTAAAATAATTTGATATTATGCATGTAGTTTTTACTTTTTACTGATAAAGCCATACAAGGCTCGATATGAAGACATTTCGAAATTTTGAACTTGTTATTTTACTATAATAGTAACTAGGTACTTTTAAAACTAATATATTTCAAATTTATTTTATTTGTTGAATTATTATATTATCTGGATCACGATTTATATTTATGGATTATTCAAACCAGATAATGTTTAACGCGGAATAATAACTATACTAAAATTGTAATTATAATTTGTAAGACAATAATTTACAATAATAAACAAGTTGGCTGATCAAACTATTAAGTACACGACGTGAAGTTGTTATATAACTAATGCGGTCGTAACTCATTAAATGAAACGTTTGATTATAAAAAATTATGTTTAAAAATTGTTCATAGAATACCGCAACTCATGTAAACGCTGTCGAAAAATCAAGAGTAGTTCTCACATGGACAGCACCGAAAACTCTTGACGTGCAGAGTTTCAAATTCAAGTAAGTGTTACATTAAATAGCATTACAATAGCTTAAGTTAAACTATTACCAAATAACCAATGGCCAATATGTTTATTGGAAGTAATAATGACATATATTTATTAAAAGTAGTTGTAGCTGAACGGGTTTTCGAAAAGAATTAATATAATATGACATATGGTGTATAGGTATACATAACCGGTATTTCTAAGTAGCAGACTAGTCGTATGCGTACGATATAATATTATAATGTGACAAATGTGAAACACACTTACCTTAATGCCGGTATGAAAATATATTTCTTCAAAAAGTATCGTTGACATAATGACATACATTTCAATAATCATTTGCATACAAATGTTGTGTAATAGTGCGTGTCCCTCACCGTAATCGTTTCCCAAGTAAGGACGCTATTAATTCATTACACATAAACATCGATTGGCATCAAATAGTGATCACCAACAGCTAATCGCGTAAAATAAATTATGAAAGTGAATTCTGGAAGATCTATTATTTGTATAGCTCGTTAATGAAGTCGTGTAACATAGTAATATTATCAGTGGCATTATTTCAATTATATTTATTAGGAATTGGCATAATTGATAATAATAATAGTGGCTATTCTTAAAAAGATCGTAGGAAATGTAAGAAAAGTCACTCGGATGAAACACGACAAAATTAATAATTAATGATACGACAATTATTAACAAATACCACAATAAGGAAACGAAATAAATCTATGTACATTGAACTTATAATGAATGAAAACGATTTTTAACATTTAAGTGTCGTGTTGCAATCTTCAAGGCTGTCTAGCTAGTTTATCATTTTTTTTTTAACTTGTTATGTGTTTAGAAAGTACCTACAATAGTTTAGGTTAAAGTTACTTTAATTTTTAGCTTGCCTACTAAAAAAAGAGGCTGAGGCTTGAAATTAAATAATAAACATTTTTTTTAATTTGTATTAAGAAAATTTTGTAATACAAAAATACATCACACATACGTAAATAAATCGATTAAGTACATTTTAATTTTTATTCAATCAATTCAAACATATATTTTATATTTAATAAATAATGTATATATATACAATACACCACTACGGCACCATACCAGGGTAAAAAACATACCTTTGTCTTAAATTAATAATAAAAAAAAATATTTTTAGAAATATAGAACAACACAATATAAAGTCATTATCCAAATTAAATTTATCTATTGATATTGATCAAAAGTATTTTAAGAAATAGTGGATTAACTGTATTATTAATATAAATTTAATTAAGGTATACAAATGTTTCTTATAAAAAACCACCACAGTTCATGCACAGGGAAAAACAAAAAAGTTTACATACGTATACGGCTTTACCTAAATTTACATTTAATGTAATTATACTAAATTAAAAATGATTTGAGATTGTGGAATTTAGTAATATTTTTCTTTCTTTACAATATTCAGTACTTTTAATATCCTATAGGTACATATTTAATACTTCAGTAAACATTGTAAGCAATTTTATAGGTACATTTCTAATTTGTAGAGATGACACAAAATTATACACGTATTGAAGTACTCAACACATTAATTATTGCACTTTATTTGTGAATTGCACTCGGAAATGGCAGTAACACTTAGTACATACTCCACAATTTATGAATTTAAATTAAGTATTATTAGTTATTAGTTTTTACAATATCATAATCGTAATTTTATTCAAAATATTCAACTCGTATCAACTTTCGATATAATTTATTTTTGGTCTTTGACTGTTTTGTTTATTTATTACAACAGAACTAGTCTTTCCCTTTGGCCTATAGTTACATTATTATATTCCAATAATATTCTTATTAAGTAGGTACACTATTTGATAGTTAAACACTATAGAAACTGTTTTAGTTAATAGTATCCATAGTCAATTTCTTAAATCTTAACTATACGTTTTGAATTTTATTTAGAGAAACTAAACGGGTAGCATAGGTGATCTAAATAGTTAAAGAAAAAAAAGTTGACGTTTTTGTAAACTTCGTAAATACAAATTTACTAATGGGTGATGGCCGCTAGGACACGTTCACGTTAACAGTTCCAAATTATTTTCTAATACTTTTGATGAGTGTTGAATGGTACAAGTGAAACAGAGGACCGTATAATATTGATCAACTGGTAAGGTAACATTATAATCTTGTAAGCTAAGGATGCTCGTGGACATTTTTACTGGATTGAGAAGGGGAGGAGGGCAATGTGTGTCTAGCCTATGGTATATATAAACAATAACATAATATTATATTATATACGATGTATATATTTATTGTATTTTCATCCTAATATATATTGTGAGACTGTGACAATACTGTATTTTTCTTTTAAATTATTTACTTTTCAACATTAAATTATTTTGTAAACAATGATTCTGTTACTAAAAAAAATATATATATTATGCATTTTACAAACATTGACACTAAAAATCTGTTGGCCCCATTCGATCCTTCCAGGGGTGCCATTGTTGTAGGCATATACTCGTCCATAATATGATATTCCTAAGTAAGTTAGATAGAATCTAAATTATAAATAATTATTCATACACATTTGAACAAAATTTAGACATATAGTTTTTTTTACTTGTTACATTTATTCGTATAGCAAATATGGATACACGTCATACTTATCAATTAAAATGTAATTTAAATAAGTAATAATGCTCTGAATAATTAGAAACAAAATTTTAAACTCAGTACTTACCTAAATAGGTACTCAAAATATGTGGAAGGTTACGACCGGTTTATTTCTCAACTCAATTTAAACATATACGTAGCTGACTTGACTGGTTTAGTGATTTTTCAGAATTATAATTATAAATTATAATAGGTATAGAATATATATATGTTATTAACTAATAATGTATTATTATTGTACATTAAAATAATTAAATGTATATTATATAGGTAGGTACCTTAAAGGTGAAAACGTAAAACGTGAACGTATTTCGCAGAGATGCATGGGATTTTCCTATTCAACACTTAAATGCATACAAATTACTATAACACGCACCATACAGTCTAAATAATATGCTAATTTGTTGTATACAACAACATTTCAAGGTCATTAATACACCTGTAGTACAATTATTTAAGACCCGATTTAGTAGTGAATGTAATGGAAGTTACAAATAACGCATACGTGGGTACCTACTTTGTGTATATATACATGGATACTTAGACACTTAGTACTTCTCCATTCTAACACTTCACAATAGCCAACAACTAAATGTTGCAGGCACAATCAATTATAGATTATTAAAATAATCCATAGCTAGGTACCTTATACTTACCTATACCATACTACCTTATACTTATCTAATTTTATTTTTTAATAATTGAATATGATATTGAATTCTGTCTTAACTCATTTCTCAGGGTCATTTTTTATTTTATTTTTTCTATTTAATTGATAGACTGTTGGTGCTGGTATATTTTTGATTGTTTCGATTGATGTTTAACGAAAGCTTTGTGTTTGTACCGTATACCGTATAAACTGATGAAATTATGTCTAATATTTTATAGTTTTAATTCTGAATTCTTTACATTTATAGTTGAATTTAAATTATTTAGTACTTATAGATTTAAAAGTTAATAATTTACTATGTTTCGTAATTTGTCAACACGAGTTTTCCAAATTTGATACAGCTTCACGAATTCATGATAAAAATAAAACTACCATTTATTGAGCAATTTAATCTAAATAACTAAATAACGTTTATGAAAATTGTCAGTATGATTGAAATTTAAGTTTATGATTAAATCTTCTGTAGGTATAAGTGTATAACGATATATAACTATTATATAGGTAACCTATAAAAAGTGAGTCCGGTGGATTTAATTTATTTCTCCTGAGATTTAAATAAAAAATTCAAAACAATTTATCATACATAGTAATTTCCAGTGGCGGATTTAAGGGGGTGGCCCAAGCCCACCTCCATTGGTCTAGCATCTATGTTAATAAATTGGGCCGTTTTTAAATATTTGTATCGTAAAACTTAGAAAAAGACAATGCTCCCCCCCCCCAAAAAAAAAATTTCTTGAACCGTCACTGGTAATTTCCCATTGGCGTTCTTGAACTGCATCAATATAATATTATGAGATAATTTTTCTCGTGTTAATGATATTAAAATTAACATATTACTATCTAATAAAATATGTTTTTTCTCGTGTTAATGATATTAAATTAACATGTTACTATCTAATAAAATATGTTAATACCACTATAGGTGGTTTAATTACCTAGATTACAAAGATACGAGTAGATGATATTTGTAGGTATACAATAATAATAGTTAAAATAAAAATGGTTTACATATTATTATTACAAATGTTTTTTTTATTGATTAGGAAATGATTATGTTACTTAATTAAGCAGGGAGTCCGTAGTCAAAACTTGTATTATCAAATATCGGTCATTAATATGTTCATCTTCGAAAGAGCCTTCAATAAGTTATTATTAGAATTGAATAATAAATTAAGGGGACAAGTAATTATTTTACTTAAAAATAATAGTTAAGGACCATAACATGGTAAATTCTCTTCACAAGAAATGTAAATTTTTCAACAAAGTATTAATAACTTAAGAGTTGCTACTATATGGACGCAATGCTAGACACTCAATTTTTAAGGGATTCGATATAGGCAATTTTAATGATATCTTGAGAAAAATTTAAGAATATTTAAATACAAATTTAAAGCAGCATAAATTACAAGAAATAAATACAAGTGGACTTATCTCAGTACGATGATGGTCGGTTATTATACTTATTACACAATTACAAGAACATATTATAAAAAAACGGTTTAGACCGAAAAAAATCTACTTAAGTCATATAAAAGTCATATAGTATTATAAACCAAATTTATACACGCTAAAAAAACAGTATTTGCTGCGTTTTAATATCATTAATAAAAAAAGTTATTATTATTTTAAAATTGGTTATTTTTTGTTTTTTTCAAACTTAAATAACTTTTTGGTAAAATTAATATACTCATATAAAAAAAAAATGAAAACACTAAGTCACATGATACAATGTCTTTTGCTTCATATATAAATCTGGTTTCTCGACTAAGAGTTATGAGTTATGAATTATGACTGTAGCCATGGTGGTTCTTTTCGAGTGAAACGTTTTTCACAAATAATGTATGGGTGTGTAGCATCCACTTAATAACTCACCACATATTATTTGTTACAACTATAAGTTAGAACAATACCTACAAGTTACTTTTTTGAGTAAATATTTTAAATAAAACTTATATATCTTGTCTATTGTACCTATAAATATTTTTCTTTATTAATATAATATTTAAATGGATTTTAAAAAAAATATCAAACAATGAACCGTAATATACCTATTACCTACTATAAATACTATATTATAAAAAATATATATGAAATCATATGATATTTATAAATTTATAATATTATACAACTTTTTATTGTATACAATAATAATATGATAATTTATATTATTTTTCTAGATACACAGTCGCCAAGAACGGTGGAGAATACTGGGTTGGAAAGGAATCTGAAAATGTTTCTGTGACTCAATCCGGCTGGACTAAGAAAAACTAATTTGATCAAAAACACAACAAAAAAACCACCTAAATTATAAATAATCATGAAATGTATTATTTTTTATTGTTAGTACCAGTTCATTGTATTTTATTTTACGAACAGTGAATATTGATGAAAATTGTCATATGGATTATACATAATTTTTATAAAATTAGTTTTAAGGAGTATAAATAAATAATAGTTATAATTTATATTGGTTTTAAATTTCAATTTTTGCACGATATAATATCATACATGAAAATGTATGTATATTTCCTAGTTTCTTATTCTAAATTCATATTTTGAATAAGTATGGAAAATTGACATTAGACTTATTGCACCATTATTTAAGTCCAAATATTATGCAACTAAAAATTGTTAAAACACTTTTAGAAAATTCAATGTTAGTAAATTATTTACATAAACATGTGTAATATGCTCCGGTGACAATTGAACCACTTGATTTGAGGCAAAAAATATCCAGTAGGTACCTATCAAAAACACCTGATGACAATATATTATCCTATAAATATAATATCCATGGTATCTACTACCTAACCATGTTATAATATTATTAGAGATTTTTTTAAAAGTTTTTGATTTTAAACATACTTACTAATGGAAAATACATAATATTTGAAACCGAAATAAAATGTAACAGTATTTTTTCATGTGCTATAAAATATAGGTAGGTACATGGTAAAATGTATTATGTTCTACCTATTGGTTGTTACTATTTAGACAGGGGTTAAAGTGGGAAACAATTCCAGAGGGGACTAATGTCTCCTTATAGTTTTAAGCGTTTCATATATAATTTTATGTATAATGTCCAATGTATAAAATCCTAATTTGTTAAAGAGGACTCTTTTTAACCGCCGCCAGAGGTAGGGGGACTGAGTCCTCCAGGGCCCCCCCACTTTAACCTCTGTAGGTAGAACTGTAGAAGAGGTATATATATTAGACATATTATTATAAATGAATACAGTGGTGGTGCGAAGGTTGTTTTTTAGGCATGGGACTCAAGTCTTTGTAGGTGCGTAGGTGGTTATAGCCATGTAGGTGTAGACACCTATTGGAAAATGGAAGGTGAAAGTAAATTGTAAAAATATGTATATTACTAATGTACATAATATTATTAGTATTTTACCTTTTTTTAGTCTGTCTAGTCATGGAGTGGGTGTCATAAATGATACTGGCCTTCAAAAGACATAATCGTTTGCGCTTCTACTGAATTAATATAGGTAGCCAGATTAGTAATATATATTATACAACTGGTATCGTGGTATAAATTGGTATGTAATGGTTGGATTGTAAGCTCTCTCGATTTTAATGACCTGTAAGATAGCCCGATGATAAACTCTCTTGCATAGTCAAGTCTAGGGGAATCACAAGTTCCTACACGAGAGTATAGTATAAGTAAACAATTACAAACGTTAATTCCTACATAATATGAGATGTGTGAATTCCTACACGAATATAAAAATGAGATCAGTAAGTTCCTACATGTTTAAAAAAAAAAGGTACATGCTATGTTAGTACCTACTCACACGGCAGAAAAATATATTAGGTATTACATATTATTATAATTATATAAAAATATCATAATAGGTACATTTCATACATTTAATAATTCAATAATTTCAATAATACAAATCAACAGACATGCCCGATTAACCAATAGCAACCAATATATAATACACTGTTGCACCACTGTTGTATTTTTTACTTCCAGAATTCCTACTTTTCCTGTGGATTTTCCTAAAATTTTCAAAAACCTTCTCCTGGCAATTACAAACATCTTAAAAAAAATTTGAGCCAAATCGGACCAGCCGTTCTCGATTGATGAGGTAATGACATTTTTCATGCTCCATTTTTATATATAGATATCTTAATAGGTACATTTCATACATTTAATAATTCAATAATTGTTTAAAAAAATATACTCTATTTTATATAATATTATTTAAAATATATTATAATTTATTTAACAATTATTGAATTATGAAATATATATGAAAATAAAATGTACCTATTATGATATTTTTATATAATTAAATATATAACAATATATTTCTTATAGGAACTTGAATATCTAATTTTTCTACAGTGTAGGAACTAACAAACTACATATAAGTATTTTTTTACTGCTATTTCTCATGTAGGAACTAACATTTGATAAACTTCAGTATCATCTCGTATAACTTAGTATCAGTGGCGGATCCAGGGGGAGGGCAAATGGGGCATTTGCCCCCTCCAATCACCGTAGTTTTCCTTTGTTTTACACTGTGTTTGGCCAATTTTGTAGCCAATTTTGGAACTTTTTGTACTTTTGCCCCCCCCCCCTAACGCCCCTCTTAAAATTAAGCCCTGGATCCGCCACTGCTTAGAATAAGTACTAAGTACCTAAGTTTTACTTCGCCGACAATAATAATGTGACATTATTAATTTTATATTTTATACCCGCTATAATGGTCAACAAAAGAATCCAAAAATACCACTGAAAAGTAGATTGTAATATTCTATTGAATAATGTCCTACAAAAGTATAGAAAACAAAACGATTTTATTATAAAATAAATCTTAAAAATTTTAAATTAATAGTAAGGGGAAAATTAGGATTAATATCGGACAGACTTGAAAAATGGGGCAAAATTACGAAACAATTACTTGTACCTATCAATTATCATAAATTCTGTTGTCATAGTGTGGACTATCACCAAATTATTATTTTTGTTGCTAATAACAGTTTATGTAGAATTTTACTATTATTCTAAATTAAATAAATAAAAAAATATCTTATGTAGCCCATTATAGTTATGGTCCAATGTGGGGGGGGGGGTACTCCGGTTGCGCCACTGGCACTGTTATTATTATTGTTATAAATTATTTCTATTGAAATACCGTATTCAGATACTGAATGGTACGTCTTTATAGAGATACTGAATTTAAGCTAATTTTTCTTCTAATACACCACATATATCGCACTAGATAAAAATGCAGTTTAAAAATGGAAAAAAATGAAAATAAAAAAAAACTTTCAAAAGAATTAAAGATGCCTATGAATAACATAAAATGCAAAAAAAAAAAAGTGAAAATAATAATATTTCAATGTTAAAAACAAAGAATTATAAAAACTAATTTTCCCAACAATTGAGGGTACTGCTTGTGTTTACACGGTGTGTAAAAGTGTGTGTCCAGGGTATACGTTGCGGGCTCCGTGTACCAGGGTCGCACGCGCTACTCGCTACTGTTCTTCGATCGCGGTGCCTGCGACGGCGGCGGCAGTTGTAACTTTTTATTTTTAATTTCTAACTAATGCCTTGTATTTATAATTTTCGACCAAACCAGTCCAAACGAGACATTTTTGTTATCGAAAATAGTCAAAAATTAAAAAAAAAAACTAATAAAAATTGAAAACACATATATTTATACAATTTACGCTGAAGGCATAACTTAAATTTAAGTAATTTTAATAATTTTAAATTGTAAGAAAAATATGTTGTACATTGTTAACCGTATCGAATATTGTTAAACTATCATTTAGTACAAAATTAGCTTTTCATTAATTTTTAGACAATGCTTTAGTATCTATTTTACTTAGGTAGTCAAGATAACTAATTTAGTCTTTAGTCTATATCGTTTAGAATCTCTCTCCTCCAGCTCAGTCATTGCCTTAATAGGTCCATCGTATTATTATCATTCTTTGTATCCATCTGATGGGTACATATGTAAACTCTCGAAATTACTCTCGAATTGCCTCCCAAGTAAAGGTAGGTGGCCTTTTTTCAATCGACTTGCCTCTCTAGCATACCTATACTATTAATTAATATTATCGATACTTGTACAGTGGTACGTGTACTACTGATTATTTTATAGTTTTCCGTAATATTATAAAAATATTATTTTTAAGACATACAGTATTTTCCAGACGGATTAATTTTCCGAATGCAATAATCTTGTCAATCACTGATCAGCTAAATATTATTTAACTATCGTATTCAATATAACCAGTTCAACAGTCAGTTACTTTGCCTAACCAAAATTTCAATATTTAAAAGTATTGGAAAATAAATTTAAACCTCAGAAGATACAACATAACCAACTTAAATTTTAGACATTAAAATATAAAGATATATTTTTAAACTCCATTTCGCCAGCACTGCCACTTTCGAATTTTAATACCAAAAGTTGACAGTATCATGTACACCCCCCCCCCCCAACACGAGAGAAACCGTTAAGTCACTAGTAGTATTTTTTGAAATAAAATTTTTGTAAATTTTATAAAGCAATATTTAGTAACTTGTGCATACGCGTAAGTAAAATGACAGACGTACATTCCGGTCACGATGATGCCCCTATCAAATGTGATCAGTACTACAAATTACACATACTAATGTTAATTTACTTTCAACACATTCACAAGACCCAAATAAACTGAAATATAAAATGCCTAATTTTTACTCTTTAAAATTGATTACGCACCAGCCCCCTTAATATAAGATCTTAATTTTATTTTAAACTATGTAAATTCCTTAAGTTGATAAGTGATAACCCCCGAAATGGCAAATTTACCGAGAGTGAAGTTCTTGAGGCTTAAAAGTTATAAGATTGCCAACAGGCAATATGTTAGGGATTCATATTTAACAGTTATTTGTATGAATTAAAACTCTTGGTATCCTTAACAAATAGTGACCATAGATCTTTAAACAACCATTGACAATATTATTGTCCATATATGCAGTGTTACATATACCTTTTTTTTTTTTTTTTTTTTGTTTGCACCACTACATGGGGGTTGCACGTTACATGGATGTTACATATAGGTACCTAACTAACAAGGTATCACCAATTATAAAACAATAATGTTCCAATACTAAATTCAAACTGTTTTTATTGTATTTTTTATTTTCATCTGGATAAAGAATGAGTAGTAAAATTTATAATTTATAAACTCCTGTAATAAAAAAATGACTAATTCTACTTATTTATATATTTAAGTACGCAACTTGTTAATTAAAAATAAAACATTTCTAATTAATTTAAAGTACCTACCTAAACAGTAAAAAATGTTCATCTTTGGTAATATTAACAAGAAAAAGTATATTGTACAGTAAAGGTAGGTATATTTTAAAATTGTATTTTACCTGTACAAAATTGTACATAAAAAAGTAGGTACATAATACTGTACCATTGAACATTTAATTTGTTAAAGTTAAACTTTTAGCAAAGGGGGTGCTGGGGAAACGTTTCTCCAGCAAGCGCATGGCAATTACGGGTATTCTCGAGTTATGGGGGCGGGAGGTGTACAAAATTCTACATAAAATAGTACATAATAGGTAGTGTCAACTTTTGGTATTAAAATTCGAAAGTAGCAGTGCTGGAGAAACGGAGCTATATTTTTATCTAAATTATTTTATACTTTCTTATTTCTTATTTTAGATTCTGAATTGAACGATGAATATTTTGATTCTACAATGATGTGTGTTTTTTTTGCTTATTTTTTTTTTGTGTCTGACTCTTAGGACAGTGAAAATGCTAAGATTTTCTTCAACAGTATCTTTTCTGATAGGAAAATGAATCTAGTTGGTACTTAGTAAAAACTTCCTCGTAGATTGGAAAATCTAAAGAAAAATTAAGGAAAAACGGGAATTTTTGTTTCTGAGAAAATAGATTTTGGTTTTGGTGCAACTCTCAAACAAATGACCTTAGATACATACAATTTTGACTGAATGTATAGACTAGCATTTTCTATACACCATAACATTTTCCAAATATTTTGACTTATTTTGAGTTATTTACGGACCTTTTCAGTTGTTCATTTTTTGTAATTTTTTTTGTTATAACATTATATTTTATTGGTTAAATAAGTTAAAAATTTAATATAAGGCTCCTAGTAAATTGTTTGAATAGCAGTTGAAAAATATTAAAAATACATAGGCACAAATTTTTTTATAAGCATTTAAAGTTGGAATTTTGACAAAATTTAATAATTATTTTGTTGAAAGTTTATAAAATGTTCAACTTTTATAGCTAAGGATTGAAAATTTAATACAAGGTTCCACGTAAATTGGCTACATATAAATCACCTTTTTCACAATGATATCATCAAATATACTTATTAATATAAATATATCAGGCGGACTGACCGTCTCAGTTCAGATTCATTCTTCTTATACAATGATATTATATCACTGACTTCAAATTTAATACCATCCATTATACATTGACCCACTTGTAACCTACTGTACAGCAGAGTGACACACACTTTCCCACTTACTGTACAGCAAAGCGACATCCACTTGCCCACCTTTTTATTATTATAATTATTATTTATTATTGCTGTTTTGGTCATTGGGTACCTATATATTTACTAAGATATTTATCAACCTTAATTTACATTAAATCAATAGAAATTGATTTATTAGGTACTCAATTTATTTAATTTATTAATATTTCCTATAATGTAAGGTTAAACAAGCTAACCTAACCTAGCCTATATCCTTCTATATTTACTGATCTATGAGCTCATAATTATTGTTAATTTTATAAAAATAAAAATTTGTGATTTGAATTAGAATTTTATTAATAATAGCTATTGGAGGCGATTCCAGTGAAAGAGGGTCACTACCTAAAATAGGAAGTAATTCAAGTGAATGATATTTTTGGAAACTGGGGACAATTCGAGTTACCTTTTTTTAAAAAGTTCACTGTTGGCAATTCGTGTGCGTCTCTCCCAGGTCTACTTAAGTAGGTACTACCTGAATATGCAAACTCTCCCGAGTCTGTAATAACTTCGTTCATACATTATAATAATATAATGTTTATAATATTAATATATTATGAACATACACATTTTAGATTCTAAGCGGAGCGAGGAAGCTTGTGGTTTTACAATGATGTTTTGTTTATCTTGTTAACAAAATGTCTACCAGTAGGAGTGCTTTGATTTAAAAATATAGTATCTTATTTTTTAGAAAATTGGATCAAGATGGTATACTTTAGAGAGATAATTTTCCGATTTTGAGTATTTTCTCAATAATTATTTAATTCCACAGGAAAAACCACCTACGAATTACAAAAAACCGCTAAAAATGGGATTTTAATTTCTAACGCTTTGTGTATCACCATAGAAACGAATAAAAAATTATAATATTATAATATCAATTCAACTTACAGGCTATAATAAATAATAACAGTATACTCGTAAAAAATCCAGACTGACAAACCGTCTCAGCTCAGAATCGTTTTTCTAATACAATGATATTATATCATTGAATTCAAGTTAAATAAAATCCATTATACATTGACCCACTTGAAACCTACTGTTCAGCAGAGCGACATCCACTTACTCGCTATTTAAAATTGAATATACATTTGAATATCATTAAAACAAATTCAATTATTTAAATTATAGGAATTAATATAAATAATAATAATTTGAATCTATTTCATAATAAAAATAACAAAATAAAAATAAATATTTAAAAAAAAACATCAGGTGTTTATTTTTTGGTCCATATAGTCTATAATTGTTTGGAGTATAGTTTTAAAAATACTCCAGAGAGTTTACATATTTCCTTCAGGTAAACATAATTATTACCAGTCAAATTATACAACGCATTGTTATTTAAGATCCAAAACAATGTAATCCATTGTTAAATAATTTGTATGGGAATTGGGAATATGTAATTTTAATATAATTTACCAACCATATGTCATATTGTTTAAGTCTCGTTCACCTCGTGTACATCTTTATTGTTAAAATATACAGTAGAAACCGTTTATAATGACGTTCAAGGGACCAAAGAAAATAGGTCATAATAACCGGTTGTCATTATAACCAAAATGACGAAAAAAAAAATTGTAGGTAACTTCAATACATATTATTATTATTATGTATTTATTTATGCAATGTATAATATAGTTCAATAATTAGTTCAATTATTATTTAAAGAAATCTGTTATTTTAGATTGAACTTTGTTAGTATAGAAATCACGCTCTATTTTTTTTCTAGTTCTTCAAAATTTATCTTTGGACTTGCGTTATTCAGAGCCATATAATTTGCTAACATCTTTGCTGCATTGAACACTGCATTAATAGATAAATCTCCATCGGGAGTATCAGCTTCTTCACTATTATCGTCTTCCTCAGGTTCTTCGGGTTGGTTAATCAATGAAGAAATAATTTCTTGATCACTTAATGGTTCTGAAGTTAGCACATCATTATCAAAGTTAACATATTCATTTAAGTTTGGGAAACTTATGTCTTCTTCTTGTTCTCCTTGGACAGTTTGTTGTGGTATTGCATTATTGAAAAAAGCGTGACGAAAACAATTTCGTATTGTAATCTCTGATACTTTTCCCCAAGCTTTAAAAATCATTAATATACCATCTAATACGCTGATATTCGCTTCAATTTTGTTTTAAATATTATTGATCATATTTAGCACCAAACTTTTTCGAAAATAAGTTTTATAAATAAGTATTATCGGTATTATAATAGTACCTTCGATTAAGTAAAGTCATTATAGATAAAATATTTTTCCAATATAACAAAAAATAACCGTCATAACATCCGTATAGTCACTATACAGATGTCATTATAATCGATACAAATTAGTACATACAATATAGGAGTTTTGCCGGGACTTGCAATCTAAGGTCATTACACCCAGTATGTCATTACAACCGGTGTCATTATAAACGGTTTCTACTGTATTCTCAAGCGTGCTAAAAATTATTCTAAAACAATGATGATCAATTACTTTTTACTTAATACCTATGTATTCATTGAAGTTTCACATGATTCTCTTTTTATTTTGTCAAGGTATTTTTTGTTTGATGGATTTTTAATATCAACGCATACCTAGATACCTATATTATAATCTGTCAGAAACAACTATCGTCAGATTATAAGAACAAATTTGTATATATTATTACCTAGTAAATAATTTTCAAACAATTTTCGTAAACAAATTTCAAATACACATATATATTATTTAAATAAGTATTATAGTACAATATTTGTATGACTAGCAAATAATAATGTAATATATTTTAATACTTCTATAGTTATATGCAAATAATAATTATACCATATAATTCCTAAACGTATACCTACTTTATACTTATTATACTACTTTCAAGTAAGTACCTCCATAGCTACATCAGGCGCGGATTGAAGGGAGGGATGCCCTCCACCAAATGTTACAAAACGAAAAAAAAATTATTATATTAATATGCCAAGCAATAAAAAAAATTATATTTTTTATAGCGACTATGAAAAAAACTAAACTGTTTAGGCTGTTATTTTTTAATTTTTATGTAGGTACATCATAAATAATAATAAATTACTACATTGTTTTGCGGATCGTCGAATCGTTCTATTTATAATTCGGTAATTTCGCCCTCATTGATATGCCCTACCGTTATAACTTATAAAATATATTTTCATTCGGTATCATTAATTTTATTCTGTGCAATTAAACATGAACTACTGACACAGACGAAAATACATCTTTAAAAATGGTATTGGATTAATTAAAGAAACTGTATCATTTTTGTCTGCATCAAATAAAAGAACAGTTGTTTTAAAAAAATATGTTGGGCATCAATTTATTGGCTTATGCGAAAAGAGATGGGTCGAGAGACATGAAGGAGTAATGAGTTTTATGCAAGATATGCATAACATTATTGATACATTATTAGAAATTACATCATGCAAAGACTTGAATACTTCTGGAAAAACTAAATCCCTAGCAACAGTATTATGTGACAGTGAAATTATTATTCCACTTTGAAATCTCTCTCATATGCAATCCTGGATTAAGGGGGGCACGGTCCTGGGACCCATTGATTTTGGGGGCTCATTTTTATCCCCAAAACATACAACACACTAGAGTGCTTCAATCTTTCATATATACTACTTAACAAGTTTATAAATGAAAATACAACTTCATATTCATTAAATAAATCAGAAATTATCATAAAAGCGTTAGCAGACGATTTTCAAGCACTTCTTTTAAATGATAAAGACATGGTATATACTTTATTACGTTCATAGTTTAGATTATGGAAACAAAAATGAAACCGTGAACAACTTGAAAACATTTCGGTAAATTCCACTTGTGTTTTAAAAATACTTGCAAAATATGACGAAGAAATATTTCCGTTAATCAATCGCTTTTTGACCATTTTGATAACTCTTCCTATAAGCAATGCAAGTACTGAGAGAACATTTTCAACACTACAAAGACTCAAAACATGTCTGTGATTAACAATGTCAGAGACCAAATTAACTGGACTTGCTCTTTTAAATATCCACCGTGATATTGACATGTTTTCAAAAACCAACAGAAAATTAGATTTTGCTGTATAATTTTTATTTATATTTTATATTTAATATTTTTCGATTGTTCTTAAATAAAGAGTTTTCTTTTCAATGTACCTACCTATTTTTTTTTTAATTTGTAGTTAAAAGTTTATTCCTTTACAGTTAAAAAAAAATTTATATGATAAATATGGTACCTACCTAATAATTATAATATAATAGAATTATTAAATTGTATATATTATATTATGTCCAAAATATAAAATGTCCCCCCCCCCACTAATAATTAATCTGGATCTACGCCTGAGCTACGTATATTAATAAATAATGTTCTGGTGCATTATAAATGGACAATGGTAATTGAAGCAATTTACTTAATTGTAATTATTAACAACTGAGTACCAATCCATATTTTCATTTCAACAGAACCATTCCAACTCCATACATAGGTATATTGAAATCTTAAAATGTAGAACATACTATAATAAATGTACGCCATTTTAAGTAATTTTAGGAACTCGTTCCAATGATTTCATTCAATTTTTAGGAACTTAACGGGAACATATTGTATAGTTCTTTAGTTGAAAATTAACGATTTTACTCCTTCCTTTTTTCGTTCATTTATATTTTTATAAATTTAAAGAATTTAAATAAATTTTAGTTCAAACGTTTTAGAATAATTTATTTATTTATTTCAACACTGTTAAAAATAAGATGGATAATTACATATCGGTAACAATATTGCGTATGAGCAATAATGTGCTTAGAAAAATATGCAATTATAGACATTATATCATTTTCAACAAATTCAAATTTAGATCAAATTTATAGTTAATAATTGTTAATATTTTCATTTGTTCAATGAAGATTACAGATGTAATTTAATATGAAAGCAAGGATGCTCGGTAAAATAGATGACATTTGTCTAACAAAATATGTTTATCAAATCCGTATTACAATTTACCACACATAATAATTATGCCTACAGGATTGACGTCAATGAAAATTAGCAGCCAATTTTTAAAATATCAAATTTATTCATATTTCATAGGTATAAAGTACCTACCTTAAATCCGTCAGACTGGATTCCAAAATAGAGTACCAAAAACGTGAGAGGTACTCAAACGATTATGACTGTGGTCAAAGGCGTAGCAAAAAGGGGCAGAGGGTAATTGTGGTAAAAATTTAAAAATACACTTGGTTGCAGACCACAATAGGTAAACACTTATTGAAATCGAATAAGACAGTCTGATATGGGTTCCGTAAAGTACAAGTTCTTATCGCTCGACGATAAAAATTAAGTGATTAAGGCAGCTGGAGCTGGTGAATAAATCTTACCATATTAACTTATTTACTAATAACATATAATATAAAATGTCAAAATAAATGTATAATAAATAATAAATATAATGTATGTAATATACTAATATGTAATACAATTTTCATTACCGAACACACAGTAAATCGAAAACCTCTATAAATCGAATTTATGGATCGGTCCCCTGAATTTCGAATTATCAAGTGACGACTGAATTTCAAACTAAAAATTAAATTAATTACGATTGTCTATATGACTATATATTATAATATATACATCAATTAATCCCCTCCCCAATTCTAAAATACTATTTAAGTAGGAATTAAATAGGTATATACAAATTTCATGAATAAGTTTTTTTTAAGCAAACTTTATAGGATATCAAAATTGAATTGTTTAAGGGGGCTGCGTATTTTTATACGTTTTAGACAAATAAGCGGTGGTAAATTACACATACTTTGGAATTTAAATTTTTTATACATGTTTGAATTCATTGATAAAATATCTAGGCTTCTTAGGAAATCGATTTTCAGTTTTCAATTTAAAATGACCTTAAAATAACTATTTTTTTATTAAAAATTCTATGAAATAATTGCATTACATTTGTATTTATTTTGGACACATCTGATTTTGAATAAAAAAAGTGATTCCTAAGAAACATAGTCTAGAAGTTGATAAATTCAAACATTTTTTCGAAATTACAATCAAACTTCGTTAAGTAAGATTAATTTACTACCGCTTTTAGTAGTTTTATAGTCATGCAAACAAGAATATATTTCATTTTTCGCGATGTTTTGACATGTGCGAGTTGCTTCCGGCGCAGTTACCCGACTCGTCGTGCAGCGATTCTCGGAACGATAACGGAATACGCACACTAATGATCATTTACTACTCACGCATAGATACAGTGTTAATTTAATATGTCACATGAATTGACTAAATAGTACTCCTTAAAATATGCTACGCTGCAGTCCGCTTAATATTATTATCATTCACTATTTTTCTAAAAATTTATTCAACGGTTTAAACATTTAATATTGCTGATAGTTATAGTCATTAGTCATTACCTACGTCCCACAAAATTCATAATAATTGTTGCTTCGCTGTATAACAGCAATAACAAAATTAAATAATAATAATAATAAATTAAGGGGGCTGCAGCTTGATTCATTTTCGGTTGAAAACATACCTCATGACTTCAATCACTACGTTCAATACAAAGTTCTGATATTCACTTTGAAAGCAGATTTGAATTCGTCACTAAATTCTATGCTTTGACAATTTCATTTTTCTGATTTTTATTTTTTTTACTTGGGAATTTACTAACAAAAATAGTAAAAGTAGATCATATTCATAATACAAATTAATATAGAATATTATGAAAAATGTACGACAGTTAAAGCATAGTAAATTTAGAGGAGAATTCAAATCTGCCTTCAAAATTTAAATCGGAAAATCCTACTGAGCGTAGTGATTGAAGTCACTAGCAGTATTTTTTAAAAAAAAATGTTTGTAATTTTATAAAGCAATATTTGGTAACTTGTGCATGCGTGTAGGTAAAATGGCAGACGTACATGCAGATCAATGATGATGCCTATCATGATAATTTGTAGTACTGATTGCAATCAGTACTACAAATTACACACACTAATGTTAATTTACTTTCAACACATTCACAAGACCCAAATAAACTGAAATATAAAATGTCTAATTTTTACTCCTTAAAATTAATTACGCTCCAGCCCCCCTTAATATAAGATCTTAATGTTGTTTTAAACTATGTAAATTCCTTAAGTTGATAAGTGATAACCCCCGAAATGGCAAATAATTTACCGAGAGTGAAGTTCTTGAGGCTTAAAAGTTATAACATTGCCAACAGGCAATATGTTAGGGATTTATATTTAACAGTCATTTGTAAGAATGAAAACTCTTGGTATCCTTAACAAAGTTACCATAGATCTTTGAACATCCATTGACAATATTATTGTCCATATATGCAGTGTTACATACACCTAACTAACAAGGTATCACCAATTATAAATCAATAATGTTCCAATACTAAATTCAAACTGTTTTTATTGTATTTTATATTTTCATCTGGATAAAGAATGAGTAGTAAAATTTATAATTTATAAGCTGGTGTAATAAAAAAATAACTAATTCTACTTATTTATATTTTTAAGTACGCAACTTAGTAATTAAAAAAGGTGCTCTGCTGTACAGTAGGTTACAAGTGGGTCACTGTATAATGGATAGTATTAAATTTGAATTCAATGATATAATATCATTATATAAGAAAAACGATTCTGAACGGAGACGGTATGTCAGTCTAGATATAAGACATATTATATACTTATCGATCGTATTAAAAAAAATTTAAATAAAATATTCACCTATAATAAATTCCAAATTAATCATATCACAATATCCATTAGGTACTTATAATGCGTTATACGTCAACAACAAACCCTGATACTATCATAGTCCATACTCCATAGATATATAATAATTAATAGTGTAGGTACTTTAGAAGTTTCAAGTACCCACGAATAATAATTAATATTACACAATCACAACAAAATAACTAAAATAGTTATTCTAGGTTTTTTTATGTAATTTTGTTCAAAGTTGAACTTAAAATGAATATAAAAATAAACTGTGCTTACCTATGTATTTTTTAGATTTTTTGGTAACAGATATAACTACTTACGTGGAATCTTGTTTTAAATTTTCAATCCTTAGATATAAAAGTTGAACATTTTATAAATTTTTAACTACAAAATAATTATTCAATTTTAAATTTGATAAATTTTGAAAAAAATAGATCTTTAAATACTTATAAAAAAAATTGTGTCTATGTATATGTCTATGTAGTCATATTGATTTTACAATGATGTGTGTTCTTTTTATTTATTTATTTTTTTTTGTGTCTGTTATCGCTTTTTAGGATAGTAAAATTGCTTGGATTTTCTTCAACAGTATATTTTATGATAGGAAAGTGAATCTGGTGGGTACTTAAAAAAATTTCCCTGTGGATTTGAAAAACAAAATAAAAATTAAGGAAAAACGGGAATTTTTACACTAAAATCTGTTTTTGAAAAAATCAATTTTGGTTTTGGTGCAACTCTTAAACAAATGACCGTAGGTACATGAAATTTTGACTGAATATTTAGATTAGTATTTTCTATATATCATAACATTTTCAAAATGTTTTTATTTATTTTGAACTGTTTAGGCCCATTTTCATTTTCCATTTTTTTATAGTCTTTTTCTAAAAAGATCAATACAATTTTATTTGTTGGTTAAAAAAGCTTGAAAATTTAATACAAGGCTCCTACCATATTGTTATAATGGCATTTGAAAAATATTAATTCAAATTTAATACTATCCATTATACAGTGGTCAGTGACCCACTTGTAACCTACTGTACAGCAGAGCACCTTTTTTACTTTTGAACTCCTATACAGTACGAACTATATCCAAATTATCCAATTTTCTACCAGAAGTCAGAAACTACCTACCATTAAAGATAATTATCAAAGATTTTTACTACTCCAAAATCAAATTACATAAATAAAACAAAGTATTTTACACAGGTAGGTACCTACATAATTATTCATTGTATTAGACCTACACATTCATCGATCCGCTCAGAATACAATAATACGGCCAACCTATAGTGAATAGTAACTTGTACCTACGAAAAATATGAATAGCCACATACTGTATTATGATTTATGAAATAAGTAATTTAGTATTTACGTTGTCTTTAGCCAAGTATTATAATAGTTGCTGGTATCTGAGTGTATTTCTTATCACAACTGGAACGTCTGGAGCCTCCAAGACAATGTGGATTTATTTTTATGGAGGCGTGTTTGGAACCAGATTAGAACGTTCGCAAACCAGTTTCCTTTTTTTTTTGTTTGCGTTCATATCATTTTCGGTTATCAAACATTCACATTTTTGAAACAGATTCCCACCAAGTTGAACTCGTCGTATTTTCTCAATTTTTTTGTGATCATGTTTAACCGATGAATGTGAGTATAAAACATTTCGTATACGATTGATTAATAATTATAAACGTTAAACGTTAAACAATGTTATTTTTATTTTTAGGAAAATCATGTCTCTTTTATCGTGCTTTGGCCGGAAAAGCTCTAACCACCAATATGAAGATTATGTTGATTTTATAGATATGAACAACTCGGATCTGGTTGATGTACCATTACATATATTTCTATATGAAAGGACCCTGGAAAAATTATTATTATCTTCCAATCATGTAAGGAAACAAAACATTATAATATGATAGTTTTACATAATTTACATAATAAATATACATGTACCTAACCAATTTCTGTTACTTACTAAAAGCGTTTACTATTTTTAATAACTTTTGTTTATTTATTGCATTGCTATAAACTTGAGGACATAAAAATAATATAGTGAGTACCTATAATATTAAAGCATGATAAGAAGGTATATTTATATTTTATGAATTATTTATTATCTTGTAAGTATTATCAATTAGGCACTTAAATTCATGATTATTCTTAAACGTCTAAACATCTAAATACCGGACACTCTCGGTCACTGAAATTGCATCCGCTATTCAGAGGGTTATTAAATATGTACACTATTTAGAAGTGTTTGTCAAGGGAGGTTGTATAAGAATATTTGATATTTGTATTATATTTCCTATATACCTAGTACCTTTATAGTTAATATTATAAATTAATAATGATGTACTGCCTTCTCAAAGATTATAAAGTATGATACTACTTCAAATATAATGATTTAAAATTTAAAATAACACTGCTAACTTTGGAAAAAAATATAAAAATACATTTATTTATTTTGGTTTTTCTTGTTCTTGATAAAATTATTATTATTTATTAGCCATTCAAATTTGTACCTACCTACTTATCCCCCATGTTAATATTTATGCCAAAGTTAAACAGTTCACATTATTTAGTTAGCTAAATGTTTATTAATGTTTACATCATCGTATACTCCCTACACTAAAATAGTTGATACGCAATAATATGTAGAACAATGAGTGGCGTGACTAACTGAAAATTTTCTTGTTGCAAGTTACAAATATCCCAAGTATTAATGCATAATTATGTATTAATATATAATAACTAATTATATTTCAGATCATTATTGACTATCTATTGAGTATATCATATTACATTTTACTAGGGGACCCACCGGCTATCACCCACCCCTCTATTTAAGAAAAATCTCAGAGGTAATTGCCTCTGAAATTACCGTTGACTACACCACTAAAAACAATGATACTTTTAAATACTATTATTAGTGTATCTCAAAAATATAAAGAGTGGAAAAGTGGATTCCTCTCTGTTGTACAGTATATGTCTAGAGAAGTCACTGTAATTAATGTGTTAAATTTGAATTCAATAATATAAAATCATTGTCTTCAAAATTCAATTCTGAGCAGGGACTGTCCTCGGCCTACATATTGTATATTTTATGATATAATTGCTGTTAAAATATTTTTTTTTACTATTGATTTTATTTTACATCAGTAATTATTATAATAGATTGAATTCATTTTTGTCAAAAATATGTCATTGTATGTATATAATAAATTTGTACGTTATAAGTTTCATGTACCCACGAATAATGTTTTTAAATTATAACAGAATAACTTAAATCATTATTACAGTAACCAACTTATGAGAAACATTATTTAAAATTTTCTTCTTAGCTATACAATTTGAATATTTTTAACATTTTTAACTACAAAATAAAATGCAAATTTTTGAGATTTTGTTGAATGTAAACATTTGAAATATAAATTCTTATAAAAAAAAAATTGTGCCCATTCGTTATTAATATTTTTCAATTGCTTTATATACAATTTTTAAGATTTTGACATTTATGGAAAAAAACAAGATAATTCTAAATGTCAAATGTCAAATAGTTCAAAACAAGTCAAAATACTATCATGTTTAAAATATTATCCAATAAACATTTGGTAAAAATGTCCAGTATCTTTGGTTACCTATCTGTTTTTGAACAATAAAATAAGAAAATTGTTCTATGAGAATTTGTTAATTTAGGGATGAATGTCCAATATCAACAACTTTTTAACTTTAAACGCTCATAAAAAATTAATTTGACTTTCTGGTTGACATTTTATTTTTTTTGTTAAATGTAGGACATCTTATGAGGAATCTTGTATTACATTTTAGATTTAAATAGACGTAAGAAAAAATTAATTTCTAACTCAAAATAATTTGCAAATCTTCATGGTTCTGTCAAAATTCGAACTTCAGAATTTTAATTTCCAGTAACAACAACTTAAGAGAATATTACACCGACATTTGTTGTCTTCGTTTTATAAGTGTGAAACATAGCAAATTTTACGCTCAGAAGATCACGTTTAGATCCATTAGTATAAAAATTAGAGTGAATTGATCTTTTATAAAATATAAAGGTAAGATTATTATCTAGCCAGTGGCATAGGCTTTTTATTATATTTTAATTTTAGAGCGAGTTATGAGTATTTTAAGATGTACTGACAATTTACAATTTTAAAATACTTATAATTCACTTTAAAATTAAAATATAATAAAAAGCCTATGACATTGCCTAGATAACAATCTTACCTTAAAACTTTATAAAAGGTCAATTCACTCTAATTTTAATACTAACGGATCCAAACATGATCTGATGAGCGTAAAATTTGCTATGTTTCACACTTGTAAGACGGAAACAACAAATCTCGGTGTAACGTCCTTTTATTAAATTATCTGGTATTTTTACTGAGGGAAAGTTTTTTAATTGACAATACTTAAATAAAAATAAATTTTCTTTTGTAAATAAATAGCTAAAAAAAGATAAAATATTTTTTTTAATTTTACTATGTATTGAAAATGCTGTTGATAAGAATTGGTGAAATTTTAAAGTACGTACCAAAAGTTATTAGTTTTTGAGTTACACCATGAATACTTTATTGATTTTGCTTAAAAATCCCTGTTTTTTTTTTTTGCTCTACGCTTTTGACAATTACTTAGAATTTTTTACTATTAACCTCCATAAGACGTACCAACTAGATTCACTTTCATACCAGAAAATATGCTGAAGTAGAAAATCAATTAAATTCTTACTGCCCCAAAAGGTAATAAGACACAAAAAATAAAATAAATATTATCATTTTAAAATCAATACTTTTATCGATCCACTTAGAAGTCAGAAACTAAAACGGTATTTAACAACAATTATTTTAGTATAAAAATAATTTATTTAGTTTTGTAGGAATCTATTCAAATGTTAAAAAAGTTTTTATTTAATAGTAGATACTATTTATTTTTTTCTAGATTAAAGATTTACCTTCACCTTTATTCCATTGCGGTCAGCTAAAAGTACTACATATAAGTGACAATAGATTAGAACATCTTCCAAAAGCAATTGGATCTTTGGTGAATCTTGTTGAGCTAGATGTGAGCAGAAATTGTAAGAGAAATGTATTAAATTATTTTAGGCCTTTTTATAAAATATTTTAATATTTTTTTTTTAGATTTATCAACAATTGATGAAAATATTAAGAATTGTAAAAAACTTTCTATTTTAAACTTAAGTGCAAACCCTATTTCAATATTCCCAATACCTTTGACGCAAGTATTGTCTTTAGAAGAACTCTGTTTAAATGACACACAATTAGAATTTATACCAGCAAACATTGGTAGACTTATCAATCTAAGAGTATTAGAATTAAGGGATAATAAAATATCTCAAATACCCAAAGCAGTTTCACGTTTGATGCAATTATATAGACTTGACATCGGACAAAATGACTTCATTGATTTTGTGAGTATGATTAAAAATATTTTTAAAGTTTAAACCCAATCATAATAAAAATTATGACATTTTTTATTTTTTAGCCTACTGCAATAAGTGATCTTTATGGATTACATGAGCTGTGGATTGACTCCAATGATATTGTTGACATTCCTTCAGTAAGTATAACTAGTTATATGAAAATATTGTTTAATATTCTTGTTTATGTATTTTACTGCTCATAATACACTGTTGTACGTGGTCTACCGCAGTATTTATATATGCTTCATGTCTGTATATCTATTAGACCTACCTACTCAAAATAAAATATTATTTTCTTTGTTAGCCTCCCACCCACTGTAATTTTTGTTCTTGGTAAAATTAAGAGTTTCTCAGAAAGATTTTTAAAGCTCCCGATTGAAGTCTCTATCTTAAAACTTAAAAAAGTTATAACAATTTTAATAATCAATGAGCTGCAATCACGTGATTAGATAAACTGACGTGACTTAATCAAATGAAAAATTGAAATTATCAATGACGCTTTAAAAAAAAATATCTTCAGCGAAATATTTAATTTTATCAAGAACAACAATTATAGTGGGGGAGAGGCAAACAAAAAAAAAAAGAAATGTGTTTTTATTAGGTTTAATATCCACATATTTACTGATTGTAAATTTATAACTAATACATTTATTGAAATCTGATAAATTGGATTCTATATTTATTAGTTATCGTGATTAAGACTATTGGTAATATAAATATAGCAATAATAGTCATATAAATTACTATAAGCAAATTAACAGAACATAGAAAATCATACAATTTGTTGTTTAAATTTATGTTGCAATATTTTGAAAGCAGTCTTCGAATAATAGAGAAATTAAATTAGTGTTCGAAAATGATTTTGACTAGAATTTAATATGAGGAAAATTAATATAATTATGGCCAGTTATTAGGGGAAGTTTTTGAAACAGAAATTGTCGATATCAAATTATATTCGGATGAATGGCTGGCTGTATAAAACATTGAATACAAAAGGTTACATTTATAAAACTGAACAATTCTCAAAATTTTGTAAATTTTTGAATGATGAATATACTTAATAATATACCTGATAACCTGATTTACCATATCTCACAATATTAGGGAGCTACCAAGAATAATCATAATATTATATAGAAATTTAAATGTACTATTGTCTATTATATTGTTAACGTCACCTCAAAAACATTTATCTAATATTTACTCTTTTAATTTAATATTCATATTTTTTTTAGGAAGTTAGCAACCTACATGAACTATGGTATTTTGATGCTAGTTATAATAGAATTTCTAAAATCGATCAAGATATTCAATATTGCTCAAAATTAAAAGATCTACATTTATCATTTAACAATTTAAAGGTAAATTTACTTCTGTTATCTTAATTAGTATTATCTATTATTTTATCATAACTTAATTTCAGAGTTTACCGAATTCAATGAAACATTTACATGATTTAGTCACATTAAAGGTGGATCATAATTGTTTGAAACAAATGAATAGTATTTTTGAAGGTCTTCAGTGCCTGGAAGAACTTGATGCTTCTTACAATTGTTTAGAAACTTTATCACCTACTGTTGGTTTAATGAGAAAATTAAATACCTTACGTTTGGATGCCAATCGATTAACCAGCCTACCAACTGGTAATTTTTTTTTTTTATATTTAAAGTTTAAAAATATTTCTGACTTTCATAATAAAAACTTAATTACATGGTTGCCTTCTTTTGTTTTTAGAAATTTGTAGCTGTAGAAGCTTAAGAGAACTCAGCCTACGATCTAATAATTTATCAAGTATGCCCGATGGCATTGGAAGCTTACAAAATTTAGTTGTTTTAACGTTGACACAAAACAAGATAACAAATCTTCCCCTTTCAGTTCTTAAGTTAAAAAATCTAAATGCACTTTGGCTTTCCGAAAATCAAAGCAAACCACTTACACCTTTACAAAATGATTATGAACATGAGACTGGAAAACATATTTTAACTTGTTATTTATTACCACAAAGAGAAGAGAGCTATATAGGTAAACTTTATTTTTTTTATTTATTTATACATATAAAATAAAATATTATATAATATACGATATTTTTTCTAGAAATTAAAGATCAAAATCGTAAACCTCTTAAAACAAATACAAGAATCAGGTTTACTGAGGATTCTGGTTTAGAAGAACCAGGAAATTTAATGAGAGTTCCTACACCACACCCAAAAAAAATGAGAGCATTTGCAAAAATGTTATTGGAAAGGAAAAAAAAAAATAATGTAATACTTTTTAAATTATTTTAATTATTTTAATATTTACAACAATAAAATAAAATAGTAGTAAAATTAAAGTAGCAGTGCTAAAACTACTCACAAACTTTTTATCTTTTTGACAATTAATTATATATTTTTAAGAGGACTATAACATGAGATGTCTCCATGTTACGATAAATTGGACAACATACCAAATTTGTATTTATGTCAACATTTCCATTTTCCTTCTTTGTGTAATTAGCTTTAAAAACAGAGCGAATAACTTACTATCAAACTTAAAGATAAAAACATTACCTGTGTTACCTTCTTGGTTTTCCCCATTTTAATACCATGAATATTTTACATATTCTTAAGTCATAAGTAAGGTAAAATGTTTATGCACTTTCAATTGTTTTCTGAATCTAGCTACCCTATACTCTTTTAAAACGTACACTTTTCGTGTATTTTTAAATTGGCTTAAGAAGTTTAATTTTGCATTATTTGACAATTTTAAATTTTAAAGTCATTTTTCTAATTTGTTAGAGAATTTTAGGATTTTTGTGGCATTTTTGAAATTATCAAATCCTAAATTTAAATTTAAGATTTTTACATGCTTTGACATGATTTTTTTTATACATTTAACAAACTATAACTATATTTGTACAGGTAAATCAATATATTTAATATAAACCTATAAAAAAAAAGTATAATTGATATAAATAATTTTTTTCCAGATTAAAGAAATCCAAAATGATCAATTCTATCTGTAAAATGTTGTTACAATCCTAAAATGAATTCATTTAAACCAAATTTATATCAAATTTATTAAAAAAAATCAAATGTGGAGCATTATTCAAAATTTTTAGAGCATATACCACTTTTTTAGGGCATTTTTTGATTTTTTTTTTTAAGCATTGATACCTAGCTCTACTTATAACATGTATAATCCTCTTAAAAATTAAAATATTGTATAAAAAACAACAAAAGTACACAGATAATTTTCTTACGTTATAGTTTGATATTTTTTTATATAATTAAGCTATATAAATTAAAACTGCTGAACATATATTGGTATGTTATGTGTTAGTAAGACAGAAACAACACATGTGAAATAACGTCTTCTTAAGAAATCGGAAAAAGTTAATTAAGAATAACACTTTACTTTTTAGGAAATATCAAGTGAATTTGACACACAACTTCCTACTGAAATTGATAATTGCTCAATAATAGATCATGAAGCAGAAAAAATGGAACAACTTTATCAAATGAAAAATTGTGTGATTGAGCCAGTTCGTATAAATACTATGATTAAATGGTTGGAATAAAATTAAATATCCAAAATTCTTCATTGCAGGAAAAAATATATGAACCAAAAGTGAACACACAAAGAGTTCCGCCTCCATACCATATTGCAGCGGCATACTCAAAACAAGTAACATTTTTTAATAATGAAAACCTTAGCTGAAATAAAGGTAAGTGATCAAATAAATGAAAATGTTTGAGATATAGACATAATCATTTTCACATTATTATTTGATCAAACTATACTATATTAAAATTTCCTAATCAAATTCATCTTATGTTTTGTTTTTGTAAAAAAATTTTTTATGACCAATGTACATTTTTAACAGGTCCTAATTTTAAAATTGAGATTTATATTTTTAATTATTTAAATGTATTTATAATTTTAAAATGTACTAATCCAATTAGAGATAGTTTAATATAACAACTAATTATGTATAGAAATCAAAAATACCGTTTTATTCGTCTGAACCCATTGATCTTAAAATTAAATGTAATTTTAAATAATTAGTTTAACTGTAAAACATCTACATTTGTGATGTTAAAATTTGTATAAGTGGTTTAATGTATTGAATTTTTGTGCTTCAGTTATGAAACTTTAACATAGAGATTAGGAGTTAAAAATTTACCAGTACCACTATAGAATCAAATTGAGATGTAGTATTTTCTCAGTAAACACATTTATATACAATAATTTGTACTATTATTCTCATTTTTTAAGTTCTATTGATGAATATGACATTTAGTGAGATTTTTGTATCTAACTGTTAACAAAGTACAAATTAATAATAATTCTTAGATTTTAATTTATATGTTTATTATAAAACCATATTGTAGATCAACAGTTGTCAAAATGTATGTTAAAGCTATGTCCACTTCTTTTCTTTTTTTTTTAATGTGATTTTTAACTGTTAATATATTTTAACATTGTATGTGACGTTAATTAAATTATAACTCAATATTGTAATGTTTTAATTTACCATGTATTTATTGAAATTCACACATAAATAAATTGTATTTACATTAACTTAAGTATAATGTTCATGTTGTTCAGGTATAGAAAAAACAACCAATAACTTTCTACCTAAAACCAAATAAATTGTGGTTAACCATTAATACTCTAAATATGAAATAATGAAAATAATATCAAAGTTTTGATTTAAACATAATATATTTACTAAAAGTGTAAGTCTAAATATAATATTTTGCAGTTTTTAAAACACACTATTATAACACAATACTCTACATATGTAAATTTATTAGATGGAAGACTAGTATAACAATTTAAATTAAGTTTGAATGAATTTATACAATAAAATTGTAATACTAGATTTTATATGAAAGCTTTTAGTAAAACAAAAGTCAAATAATATAACACTCACAATCTAAATATTATAACTATCTAATACAATTAACATAAAACAAATATTTTGGCGTGTTTGAGGTGCCCATGCTTATAAAAATAATTAACTTTTTCTAGAACATATAAATATATTAAAATATAGTCACAACTATATATAAGGACACATGTTAAAAAATATCTGACATAATATTTCAAGTCACTATCTCAGCAGTCTATACTATAAAACAAACATTTTTTTTAATTTTCTTCAAATTTATTACAAATATATTACTGTATTATTTTAGTAGAGTTGTTTGACACTGGTTGTTATTACATCCATATATCGTTCCCAAGCTTTCTTCACTTCTGCATCTCTAGACAATATATAATTTTAATTACACACAGAGTGGAAATATGATTTAATGTACAGGTAAAAATTCATAAAATAAATCATATTCATATATCCCATATAGTATCAAATTCATCCGTCCATAATAATATTAATCTCATACTTAAATAATATATATATTGACAAAAAACAAGTTGAATAAAGAAAAAAGAAAAAAGACTAATAAAAGTAGGTATTTTATTATAAATGAAATGGATGAAAATAACAAGTATTTTCTGTAGAAAAAATTCTGCCACTTAAAAAATTGTTATTTGTAAGATTGATAATAGGTCAATTTACTCTAATATTAAAGCTAACGACACAATGCAGGTTTAGCTTTAACAAAAGTTTGATAAGTTGCACATAAGTCAGAGATAAAACAATTAGTGTGCTGACATTCTAAAAAGTATATGAATCAATAAAATATATTTTAAATATAGGGTATAAAGTTACTGAAAAAGGTATACTTTACTTACAATTACATAAATAAAACCTATATTTTTTATTTTTATTTCAATACTTTTTTCAGTGGTAAAATACAGTTTAGTTCACAATATTTTACTTACTGGAATACATCTAATTCTATGGCACAGTTGACGTATACTTTTAGGAAATTCATCACATCTACTTTGATCCAACCAAGTATTCTCCATGGATCAATAATTCTTTCTACTACTTCCAAGAAGAATCCTCTAAAATTAAATTATAAAATGTATAATGACTAATAATGAACATTAATTGTAAATAAAAGTTTATTTCTGAAAATTACCTTAAGTCTCTATTGTGGTGAAGATTATAGGCTATTCCTATTATTGCTCTGCTCAGCAAACGAAAATTAACTTCCATACTATTATATGTTTTTTCTAGAAACTCTGGCTTTAATTTTTGACATACAATACTAAAAAGAAAGGTTAATAACAATTATAATATGAAAAGAAATAAGTTATAAAAACCTAGTTATTAAAAAGTTAATGACAAATATACACTTATATTTATTGATAAGTAATAACTAAATCGAAGATAAAAATCTATAATACCATTTTATAATAATAACATTTTATCAGTGGTGTTCTATATTATAATTTAAAAGTAAATGTTTCACTTTTAGATTTATTGAATTGAAGAAATTAATGTATAAAATAATAATATATAACTAAAGCGTAAATTCGTATATTTATTCTGGTCGATCAAATGATGTTCTAAGTAAGCAGAATATTTGTTTTTTTGTCATCGAATATTGAAATAAAAAATATGAAACATTTTTAGTACATATGTTTGCATATTACAAACATTTGATGTGTTAAGGACATATTTTACAATTTTAACTGCATTTTCAAGTACAAATGTAAGTGTTTTCTAGACATTTTCAAAGAACTTCAAATTAATTATTGTAAATATCAAAACGCTTCATGGTCAAAAAGTCCGGGCTTTTAGAATTTTGTTCATTGTTTCAAAAATACGAAATATTAACCTAATCTAACCTAGGTACCTTCTAATTAGGTGATACACTAAAATTAGACACACCTCCCAACTGTATACGATCTGATGTCAGTAATAAAGAAGTATTCAAAGTTCATTTCCAGACATTACGTATTAATATACGGTCAAAAAGACTGTGTGCATGATCGTAAAAAATCAATTATAGGTTATTTTTAAACTGTGTTTCTAATAATTGCTGCTCGATAAACTAAATTGATAGTTATTATATTTTCATTGTGACTGGTTATGATTTGCGCCATACTGTGTGTGACTAAAAATACCGTGTGCGTGTATTCTTGTGAATATTTTAAATGTGGGTGATCTAGGGATATGGTTATCGCTATAACTTTTCTGTTTATAATAATAATTATATTCTGTGGATATTTAATATTATAATCATTGTTATAAATTATTATTTATTCCTTATAATATTTGTTAATTTTTTTTTTATAAAATGTAAAACAATATTTTAAATCTGTGGTTTTAGGAAAAAAAATTGACTAAACGTGTCAGTAAAATTAATTAACTCATAGGTTACTTTATAACAAGGAGAAAAATTTAATTCGTTTAGTTAGTAGTTAATTCTTAAAATAGTATGGTACTTGTGAAGTAACCACATTGTCTCAATAAACAGAGTATAGTTTTAGTTGAAAATGTGAAGTGATGAATATGTAACAAGATATTTTTATATAGCCTATAAGAGAGATATTAATAATGAGAGTGTGACATACTCTTAAAGAAACATAAATATATTAATTTTGATTAAATTGTACTTAGTAAATAATATTTACTGTTTGTGATCCTTCTCTTTGTCCAATAATACTCTAACTTCTCTTAATTCAAGCAAAAATTCTCGATCCAAGTCAGTGTCTCCAAATTCCGGACTACTTTTAGGATAAGTCCACTTGTTCATAATACAAAGAGTTGGTTCATAAAAGTCAGGAAATGTTAACATTTGTAGTTTACGTTTCGACGTTTCAAAACGCATACAGGCTATGAAAACAATTACTCCATACTTCCTAATAAAATATTAACATAATTATTGATTAACTTCCTGCAAAATATTAATTAAAACATTAGTTTAATTTTGTTTTATACTTACTTAGCCAGATCTTCTGATAATAGAAATATGCTAGAAATATTTTGGATAACAGAACCTTGAAGTTCTTCAACAGCCTTGAAAACTCTTTTGACATTGTCAAATTGACGTCTAAAATTATAATTTCACGTATAATTTCGTGTACAATTTGTTGTTAACAGATAATTTTAATTCTATGCGTTATGTTTCTGATAATTAGCTATTAATGCAAACCTGCAAGATTTTATAGCGATGCTTGTTTTTTCACTAACTTCATCCAAATCTTTACGATGTTTTGATGATAATTTTTTTCCAAGAAATTCTCGAATAACTATATCATCTATTTCATAATACCTAAATAATATAATAATAGATTAATTTATAGGTTTCAGTTATTAATTTTATATCCAAATTTATTAATTTTTTTTAATTAAGAACATTTTAACTGTTATTATTGTTTAATGTCTGTGCTATAAAATGTTTTACACAAACTTATTATCATTTTAGATTCCGAGCGAAGCGATGAATGTATTGATTTTACAATGATGTGTGTTTTATTTTTTATTTTATTTTTGTATTTGTATCTGTCCCTTTTAGGACAATAAAAATGCTTAGATTTTCTTCAATAGCACATTTTCTGATAAGAAAGTGAATCTAGTTGGTACAACTAGGGGGCAAAAGTTAAATTTTCTCAGTAGTTTTCAAAATCGCTGGGAAAAACAAAAGAAAAATTAAGGTAAACAAGAATTTTTAAGCAAAATTGGTTTTTGAAAAAATAGATTTTGGTTTTTGGTGTAACTCTAAAACAAATCATTGTAGTTACATGACATTTTGACTGAATGCTTATATTACTATTTTCTATACACCATATTTTCATTTTCATTTGAGCTGTTTACGGACATTTTCAGTCTCCAATTTTTAGTTTTTTTTATCTATAAATAACAATAGCATTTTATTGTTGGGTCAAAAAGATTGAAAATTTAATACAAGGCTCTTAATATATTGTTACAATGGTATTTGAAAAATATTAAAAGTGCATAGTCACAATTTTTTTTTTAAACATTTTAAGTTCAAATTTTGACAAAATTTATCAAATTTAAAATTTAAAAATGATTTTTTAGCTAAAAATATATAAAAGGTTCAACTTTTATAGCTAAGGATTGAACATTTAAAACAAAGGTTCACGTAAGTAGGTTAACGTATTATTTTACCAAAAAGTTTTTTTTTATAGTTATATTTTTATGTTTAAATTTAGACAAAATTATATATTTACACAAAGAAGAATTATTTTAGTTTTGTGTCTTATTAAAAATAATTATACGTGAGTACTTGAAACTTTTAAAGTATATTAATGTATACAAATATGATAATACTAGTTCAACTTAACTCACTACTGTATTAATTATAATAATTAATAACCCGGAACTTGATGACCTAAAAATCTTTATAAAATGCACACAAAAAAAATGATAAAATTACTTAAAAAATGGCCATATAAATACCAAAGATTACTTTATGACTTAATATTTAAAAAAATTTAAGTTTTTCAATAATTACGTTTTGTAAAATTCATGGGTCATAAATCATATTTATTATAGGTTCTAGCTCTTTAAAAATGTTTACTCTCAAAGGAGCATTCAAAAATATTTTTTTGAAGTTTGAAATAATTTGATCAACTTTTGGGAAATTTTTTCTAATTGACCGGGCCTAAAATTATATTAGTCTACAGTTTATTAAATAATCGTAGATTGCGACAACGAACGATAAAGATAATGAACGTCGATAATCGACAAGCTAATGGAAACTGAAAGTGTTACAATAAAGTGTAACTTTCAACAAGAAAAATGCAAATAAATGTAAAAAAAAAAGTACAAAAATGAATAAAATGTACCAAAAATAATAAAAATATAAAAATGACCGTAAAACAATAGATTCCCTAAAATTGCAAAAAATGCAAAATAAAAATTGTACCATTAAATCCTATATTCTATGAATCAAATTTCTGTAAAGACGAACCTTGTATGTAAGCATTAGAAAAAAAGATGCAAATGCTTCAAGTTCCGGGCCCTATTGGCCTATTAATAACAATATAAAATACCCTAGGCTGACAAACCGTCTCCGCTCAGAATCGTTTTTCTTATACAATGATATTATATCATCAAATTCAAATTTAACACCATCCACTACAGTCACCCACTTGTAATCTATTGTACAACAGAGCGACATCCACTTATCCGCTTTTTTAATTATTATATTATGAACATAAAATACAAATCGGATAACTACTGATTTACTTAAAGAAATTAAAAAAAAAAACAATATACAAGCAGTGGCATGGCAAACTTCATTAACTTATGAGGCACAATAATTTATATAAATAATTATAAATGGGTACTTATGTGTAATAATTACGTATTTACGTAAATGGTAACTGACAAAGATTGACTTTGTCTTAGTGTGTACTTAATAAATTATTTACTATGTGTGAAATGACCCTTGTCTCCAGGACACCCACCACCCTTTAAGCTGAGGCACGTGCCTCAAATAAAGTCCTTTGTCACGCCACTGTATACAAGTATCTGAGATAACGAGACAAATATATATAAAGTATAGATATAGTATAACATTATGAACATTATATTTTGATTCATAATTAAAATAATAAATACTTTTCTACTAATATGTGTTTCGTTTGTGGCTCTATTTGAAATGCCAGCTGTTGATCTAACTTTGTTGGATAATGTATTATTTTTTCTAGCAAACTGTAAGTCCTGTAATGGTCTAATATGTCGGATGCAACCAAGTCGAGTGTAGTGCCCATCTCCTCCAGAATACCATACTGTTTCAGAATGGACACTGCTTCCGATGCTTAAACAATCAATAGCAAAGCAATTCAACACAATTTAATTCATTGCATAGTATATTATTATATTATATATCAAGTAGGTAATGCTTACCGGAATATCCATTCACCCACAGATGATATACGTCTGGATCGACGATCGTGTAGTTGCTAATAAACACATCTACTTCCGGACTAGGTGCGTTCATTATGAACCTGTAATATTTAACGACATATTATAAGAATTAATTTTTTTCATATTTTCAAGTACAAAATTCTTATTTTTCGCGTTTGCTTATCAGGCATCAGCACTATCCGATGTTATTATTTTTGTTTATACTTTATCCGGATGCTTGCAGATAATAGATTTCAATATAACTGTGATAATATTTTGATAACACTAGATAAATTTTCACTTTTGCAGGCCACCTTAAAATTGTTTAAAAATTGAAAACATTATTGTCTGTATGACTGTATTAATATAAAAATAATAGTTAATTGTCATTATAATAATATAATTTATAATATTATTATTTTAATAGAAAACGACGAAATTAAAATAGTTATCAATAATATTTAAATATTTTACGTTGTTTTATTCAGTGTTGGGTAAATTACTTCTAAAAAGTAATGAAATTACGTTACCTACTCGTTAATTCAAATATTTTTTTTATAATTACATTTGCGTTACCTAAAATTATTTTTATCACGTTACATTACCTTTTCATTAATAAAGTAGTGAGTTACAAATAACGTTACTTTTTTTTACCATTTTTTTTTAACCTTATTCAATTCACATGATTCAATAATTATTATGCATATAGCTTACAATCATAGACCTAGTGGTAATAGACTTATTTTAGTATTATGTACAGTTAATGTACAATCATATCACATTATCACCTATATAATATAGTCATAACTCATAAGTCATAAATCATAATTAATTTTTATTAAATTTTATATTTAAACCGAACTCTTTTCTTTCTACTAATAAAGTGATAATATTTATTCCTGGAATGTTTAGTGATATTGTAACTATTATAGTAATCAAAAATGTTAAATTTTTCTGGGATATCCTATATTCCTGTAATAGTGTAATACATTCAATACTATTATTTTAATAACGTGGAAAATAACGTGTTAGTGCGTTACTTCATAGAAATTACTTTTCAAAAGTAATTTTATTACAATTGCGTTACTTTAAGTAAAATGTAATGAAATTACTGCAGAGTTACTGAAAAAGTAATTACTTTACAGTAAATTGTAATTTGCGTTACCTACGTTACTACCTAACACTGTTATTACTTATTAGGTATATTGTTAAGTAACGGAAAAAGTCAATATCAATAAAAGGGACACATCACACATTTAACACATTTTTAAGGGACAAAGCACAAAGCACAAATATTTGAATACTATTCTTTTAGTTACCTATTAGTTATATTTTAAAACAATATTTAAAAGCGTAGGTAGGTGTGGTACACTGGTACATAAACATTTGTAAGTGACGAGACAACGACGACTGTGCTTTTGATAATATAATAATTTTTAATAATAAACTTCGAGAAATATTAATTAATTAATTTTACATCATCTCCTTCGAATATAATATTATTTAAATAATGCTGTTAAGTGGCAACACCGGTAAGAACGCATCCTGCAGTCGTAATTTTTCGAGTATTGCGCATACGATAAGGTGACCAGCAGGAATTGAGAGATGTTAGGGCCTTAGGGGTTATATCCCCCCTCAATTTATTTTAATGTATTATTATATATAAGTTATAGCAACCCCCCCCCCCCTGAAAATTCCTGGGCACGCCAATGACTTTGTCTGTCATATTGCATATAAATCATAAATTTAATGTAGTCGTGTACCTACTCTTGTCAATAATCAGACATCGGAGCGGAAGACCCTTTAGAACCTGGAGGCTCCGAAGTTTAGCATTGCCTTCATCCCCGGCTATTGCACCACAGGTTAGTGGTTAGGATAAGCTAAGCCCCTTTAATCTTATTCAATATTACTATTATAATAGCCAATAGGGCTTCAGCTAATTTGCGTCTATGGGAGGTAGATATGTCGAGGAGCGAGTGGGTGATATTTTCAAACTGTCTAATATTTGTCCCTCTATAGACCTCCAGACTCCAGTACCTATGATATGGCCATTATAATTATACATTATTTTGTACGTGTGCGTTCATAATAAATTTATTCCCGAATGAAAATTACAAGACTAAATTTTAACATAATTTTCACACATCAACCATCTATCGGGCAGTGATCTGGATCCCAGGCTAAACTAATCAGCTTATCTGAGTATGATATTTTACCTGTTATTCGACATTATTCTCTTAGGTCTACGTCTATATTGCATATTATTATATACAAATTATATTCCTACAGTAGTTATGTTTAACGATGATCGCCATTCCCCAACTAATCGGTATGCAATTAATGAAATATTTCCTAGGTACCTATAGATATTGTGACATTGTGTGGTATCCGATGTGGGCCAATGAGATAATATTATAACAATATTATAGGTAGGTACTTATAGCAGCTATATACAGTAGCGTTGCCGCTGAGGGAAATTTCGTGGCCTTAGGGCCTATAGAAGGTGGTTATTAAATTATTAAATAGTGAATAGTATGTAAAGAGTCTGGTGAGGACTAATAAAAAAAAATAACTATAATGATATTAATAATTTATTGTTTTAATAGTTATAAATGTATTTAAAACAATAGAATTGTATAATTAAAAATGAGTTATTCGAGCCTTCGTTTGATTAAAAAAAAAAAATAATTTTAAAATTTTTTTTAATGCTATGTTAAAATACTAGTGGTACCTAGCCGCCCCCGGAGGCCCCGTTCTAAATATTTTAGGCCACTGACTGTATCCTGTATATAGGCAATAAATACAAGAAAAAAAATATTATGGTCTGCACTCTACAGGCTCTCTCAACCCTCTGGAAATGACGCATGCACGTCCGATTTTTTTTATAGGTAAGTTATGTTCACGGCAAGCCGTTAAACAACAATAATTATTTAGAATGATTGTTATCACGTTAGAATATAATATAGAATATAATAAGTATAATACGTATTTTTATTTTACTTCACCTGCAGTCTACAAGATTTTACCGCTACTCGTAGCATCTTTTGCGTCGCCGCAAAGGCACATGCGCACAGCAACACCATATAGGTTAAATTGAATATTATTGACGAGCCCTCTATACAATCAATAACCCGTCTGCTATTTTAAGTTGAAACGCAATGCTACACAAGTAGTCTATGACTTAAATATTTTGGTCGGTGTCTCATCGGAATGTACATAATAAATTTATAAATATGTAAAAGTGAAACAGTCTGGGGAAAATCGAACAACTATAACTCGTATATTAAGCTCTATGCCTCTATATTTAATCATTTGTGTCTGTGTTAGGTATATAAGTACATTGTAATTCGTAGGTATGTACACAGAAGTTACGGAGTTACGAGTATTTATAATCATTAAATCATCTACAGATAAATTTTGTTATTATTGAAAACAAAACATTTTAATTTTCAGCCTAGTATACGAGTGTACGTGTACCACAGAAAAAGTTATAGCTGCTCTTATTTTTACCTATACCGTTTTCATTAGCTTCCATAGTTCCATTCAAAATTCTTTTAATAACTATAAACTAAAATCATATTATATTGCCAAATATCTACCTCGTAATTTTATAACTTGACATTGTATAGTCAAGAGATATCTATATTGTATTTACTTATAAACATTTTATTTAATTACAATCAGTTTGTGAGTGGGAGTCAATAAATAATATTCATATTAATTTATTATTCTATAGTTATATTTACATCATTCGCTGCTGTCAACGTAGTATAGATGATTAAGTATAACAATATTTAAAAAATGGTAATGTAATCACTACCGTACTATAACTGCAGTACCTACTATAGAGTACTACCTACCTGTACCTATAATTTATAAAACATTTTATATTCATGAGTATATATAATATAATAGGTACCTATACTATATATTTATATTATTAATGTCACTAAAAATATGTGGGAGGGCAATGCAGGGTAATCATTGGTATAGAGATTATGCACTAATGTGTAAATTACCTAAAATAATATAATATAATATATAAAAAAATCGAATATTATATTACACTATTTACAGACCGTGGAAAATATTAAGCCAAAATACCAAATACGAATTTTATTTTTTTTATCCTTAAATATCGTAAAATGTTTTAAAAAGAAAATATCACTTTTAAACTTTCGTTTTTAACTGAAACCGAGCGAAATAAAAGTATAGTCGCGCGCAGTACATTTTAAGTTAACTTCCCCCACCGGCCAGAGCTGTAAAGGAGTATAACAGCTTTGCGTAGGTATAAGTACGCAAAATGAGAGTGACATAATATATTTGTACATCCTAAATTCGGTATAGGTACTACAGTTTACAGAGTAGGTACCTATACAACATTACAACCTACCCATATATATATATATTAAAATACATAACAAACGGTTATAAAATGATACTGTGTAACATTATACTCTATACAGTACCATATTATGACCTATTTATTTTGAAGGGAATCCGTCAATATCTCTTAGAATAGTTTAAATGGAGGTACCTATAAGGCTGTAACATAACAAAGTAAACTAATATGATTTATTTTTATTTTACATCTATAAGTAGCTAAGTATCGACATTTTTCTATTTTCACTCCTTTCTCGTATATTATAATTTATTATATAAAGAGTACTCTAAAGTCTTAACGCTAACCTTACCTTGAAACGTTTCGAATACCTAAACGCCATATTATTCTCACCGATCAGAAACTGCAATCGTATCATATGACTACCTATATAGTAGTATAATGCCTATATTATGGTCTATGATCTAACTGATCTAAGTACCTATATCGTATACCTATGTATGTATTAATATTATATAGTATCCTATTCCTATACAGTTATATATTATTCTAATATAATATACCTACTACACGTCTACGGTCTACACATGAATATTAATTGGTACATAATGTTATCTACTAATATCTAATATATAGGTAGTAGCATTTATTACCTATACATAGTATGTATAATATACTAGTAGGTACCTACTATAAAACTACAATAATATAACAATAGATAATATTTAGTATACCTTTACAGTTAATGTAAAAACACAGAATAGAATAATTTTACACATAAATACATAGATATTTACTATAGGTAGGTACTATAACATTATTCAATATAAAATACCCATCTATCTATGTGCTTATTATTATTATACATTTTATATGTATCATACGAAATCGTCGGCGGAGCTATTGCAGGGACGACCGCACGGATATAGTATAATATAAATTGCTAAGTACCAAATCGCATATTATTACTTTAACATTTATATTATACAATAAAATATTGTAACGTATGTATTATACTTTCGTATAATCATTCACCCTGTACAAAGTACCTAACTAATAACAAGTAGGTGCAGGCTGCACATCGATTTCAATACATTGAATAACACCGCGAGTGAAACAGAAAGTTGTAGGTACGATCATGATATATATTTTCTCATGTATACACCTCGTACACTATATTGTTGTCAAGTACCAGTATACCTATATGTATCTCTGGGAAAATCGTTATGCTTGCAATAGGTACACTGATTATTAAGATTTTAATTTACAATAATATACCTACACACTCGACACTCGTGTATATATTTCTATATGTATGTATACACTATACCTACACGATATGTTATAATAATATGTACGGCGGCTTCGACGATAACTTTAATATTATTTTAAACGTAACTGCGTATTTCTATATAATATTACGAACTATACGCGTATTTATACAATATTATATTATGCTGTAGGTAGGTATATATTATTTTGCCGGGTGGTTCTGGATTCGATCGTTATCCGCCGCGTTTGCGCCCTTCGTCTGACGCGAACGACGATCGATCCACCGAGTCCTCCCACCGATCCACACAATGTCACTATATACATAAACCCCGTCGCACACCACCCCATGTGTGAACAGCGCTCTTCCCTCTGCCGAACTCGAAACCCACCGAAACGAAAGTGACGTTCATTGGGGTTGGAGTGTTAACGGCGGAGGGGTTGAATGATGGTGGTAGCACTGAATAGGGGGGGGGGGCGAGAGAAAGACTGGGACGTCACCTCAGCCCTCAGGATCGGTGGCACTCGTCCGAGTCCATTCAATAGGGACATTCGTCAGACGCAGCCGGTATAGTCCCGGGATTTTCGAGCTTCGTTTTTCGTATCGTCTTATAATTTAATATACTAATATCAACATTAATATTGTAAAATATTCGGATAGCCGACCAGCGATTGACTTCCATAGTTTGACTCCGGACTATATTATAATATATATTATTAGGTGTCGATTAGATTCTAGTAAGTAGTATCACGATCATGCAGTCTTCGGATATCTGCATGTTTTACTTGAGAGGCGCTTGCAGGTTTGGCAGCAAGTGTTGGAACTCCCACGACTTGACACGCAGATCGCCGAGTGCTCTATCACTTGCAGCAATTGCAAGTAAATATATTATATTGTATTATTAATTTATTTAATATCAATACGAGGTATACATTACAAATGAAAAAAAAAGCCAAGCGTTAATCCCCCTTACGTGTGAGTGTGTGTGTTCTTGCAGTACGCCACCGAGTGGGAATAATATTCACATATTATAGGTTTAACAGAAGTTTAAGAAATTTACAATCAATTTCTTAAGAGATTCGGCCCAATGGATTTATTTAGGGATAAAAATAAAATACAAGAACTCATCATCCTAATATTATTATAATTTATAGGTACCTACCGTTATAATGTAATCATATAGGCTCAAATAGAGTTTGAGATTTGGGGAGAGCCCTACTTTAATAATATTGAATAAACTTATTTAGGCTTATTTAGGAAAACAATGTTTAGAAAAGTCCCCTCCTTATATTTCGCACCTATGAATGTAATATTGTATTATAATTTATAATAATACAGCATAGATTGATGGGAGATTAATTATTAAATGTACAACTTCCCGGCTCCCCTCGGAAATTGTAAAAAAATAGGTATTAATCGTGTATGAAACCTAATAATTTTTGTATTATGGCTATTAGCACACGAATAAAAATATTGTATATTATTCGCATATTGTTAAAAAAAATTCTTAGAAAATGAAAGTGATATTAATATCTTATAAAATACTAAATAATAATTATAACAATATCTTATAAGACCAACAAATATTTAAAATCTAAGAATAATTAACATAATATTTTGAAAATGTTATCAGTAATCACGTTCATAACAAAATGCAAATATTATAGTAGCTATTTTAGTATTTAGTAATCGCTAAGAATATATTATCTAAATCTATATTATCTAACTATATGAGATTATTATTGAAATTTTAATTATGTTTATTGAATAGATTTTGGACTTTGATTTATATAGGTAGGTACAACTTATTATTAACAAAAACCTAGAAATTAATTTTAATTTTTAATTCTTTCCCTTTAGCGGCAGCTTATTACGAACAAGAAAATTCAATAATGTCTCTAAGTACTAATACTAGTACCAGTACCAGTGCCGGTTCCAGTACCAGTGCCAGTACCAGTACCAGTACCAATGCCAGTGCAAGTACCAGTACTAGTAATAGTGGAAAATCTATGCAAGAGCAACCAAAAGGACTTCAACTTCTTCTTGAAGCCTCTATGCAGTATGTTTTTTTAATAATAATTAAGTTGTTTATTGATGTTATTTTAATTTTTATAAAATTTTATTAATTTAGACCAATATTAAAACAGTCTGACGAATCTGGAATGGAAATAGAAAAAGTGGCAACCGAACTTTCTGTGGCAATGAAATCAGGAAATAGCAAAAGCGTAAAAGAGACTGCTAGTAAATTGCATGCACTTCATCAAAAAAAGAAAAAAGAAAGTACTGAAAATGATAATTCTGCGTGGAATGATATTATACGGTGTGCTATTGACAATGATTTACAGTGCAATATCTGTTTTGAAATATTTATTAAGGTACTATACTATAATTATTTATTATCAGCAATTATTTAGTTGTATTTAATTTTACGATAAATATAATCAAGTAATTAGCTAGAGTAGCCGTAAGTATACTGCTCATAGGTATCACTGTATCAGCAATGTATGTAGGTATGTATTCAACAGTACCTAGGTATAATTGAAGTTTGACTTCCATAACACTCTATTGGAAACTGAACAGTGAATATATAACAATTAATAATAGTAATACCTTAGTTACGTATTTATTTGGAATTTTGTTTGTATGAAACTGACAATGAAAAACTATCTATACAAAACAATAAATACGTAATTATTATATGTAAGTACATATTATACTTTTAAATAAAAAGAAATATTTTGGACATTTGGATTTTATATTTAAAAATATGTATAAATGTTATATCCGCCAGCTACAGTAGAAGTTAGGAAATCGTTTTTATATACAATACAAACGTATGTCAATATCATAAAATGATACATTTAAAATTTAAAACCCTCCTTAAATCAAAAATAATATTTTTTATTTTATTTTTTAGCCAACAGTGCTTAATTGTTCACACACGTTTTGTGAATCGTGCATTCATGTTTGGACAAAGCGTGTCAAAAAATGTCCAATTTGTCGTGTGCATATTAAATCAAAATCATATTGTTTGACTTTGGATAGCTTCATAGAGAAGATCGTTGAACAATTGCCAAAGGAAGTTAAACATAAGCGTGGAGTAGCTATAAAAGACCGCAATAATAAGATGAAACGTAAATACCTAGCCTTACTTAATTTAAACAGCTCAATAATAACTAAAAAAAAATTATATTTATATTTCAGTTGAAAAACCACGACCGCCCGGTATTGATCTTGCCGCATTATTGGGTTTGGGTGATATGACAGAAGATGACAGACCACTACAATTCCTCACGATGGACGACGACGACGACGACGAATACTGGAACAACGACTACGACAACGACTACGACAACGATGATATTGATGAAGACGTTATTATCGAGGAATCGGAAATGTTCAGAATGAATTTACATGATACAGTTGTAAACACTAGAGGTGTAAACCCTCTAATGAGTTATATTGTTGGTTCCGAAGAACAAACCTCAAGTACATCCAGAACTGGACCCAATAACTCTTCCGCTCGGCACTAAATTGAACCATTTAATATTTTCATAATTGTTTTATTTTAATATTAAGAATAATTTATAGGTATCTGCACATTAAAATAATAAATAACAAAATATAGGTAACATAATATTACAATTATAGGTACAATAGCGTGTCTATAAATATTCCAATAATATTATATAATAAATATTTGAGTGTAAATAATTTAAGTACTTACCTGCAAACTTAGTATTATAACTATATGTCTATAAACTATATTCATAAATCATAACATATTAGAATATTACATTATTATATGAAAAATATAAAGATCCTAATTTTAAGTTGTAAAAACCTAAAAACCCTATATTTATAAGCAGTTCTAATATTATGAATTATAATGTATTATAAGCATTGAAATTTGAAATAGATAGCTACATTGTTAATTTATATTACCTATATGGAGTTTGATGTTTTTTTATAATGATAAGGCATATTATATTTATTACCTATTACTGATGTATGCATTAGCTGGTAGGTATATAATATTATGTATTGTTAAGAGATACCTATGTTAGCCAATTTTTCTTTACCATACGATAAGCTTTAACTACCTATTTAATTAATTATATTTAATTATTGAAAGCGGAACCTTAATAAATTGTTATTAATAAATTAAAATACGGGAGATATTTGTTAATGACTTTCAGAAGACAAACAAACTCAGCCATTATAGCCAGTATTATTTTAGTCTTAAATATCTATAAAAATAGTGTTGTATTTAATAATTAGATCCGCCAGGACAAGCTTTATGCGTGACCAAAAAAAAGTAGCTCACTGAAAACAATGTCAGCTGTGTGATAATCGTTTTAGCTTGTTAAAAATCTGTTGTTTGTTTCTTTTAATTAAATAAATTATAAAATGTGTGTATAGAGCAACATTAATAATGTAATATTTTAATCAAATCAACCGGCTATATGGACTACCTATAAAAGCTTTTTATTATATTACCTACTTTTAACTCTTACATAAAAATATATTAGTTAACCTATAACTATATTCTTATATACGTGTATTTACTTAAATAAAAATGTGTGTCTTATATTCTTTCATTAATTTATAATTTCAACATTTTTCAAAATAATTATCTACCTATTTTAATTTAATAAAAGTATCAGTCTTACAACCCACATGCAATTGTGCCATGGTCAAAACGACCTCAATTTTTTTACATCTTTAATAAAATATAATATTACATAATAATATACAATTAACATTAAATTTCAATCATTGATACCTCATACTTACTCATTGATTATTATACCTTTTATAAATATATTGTTAAAAATGGTATAATAATATTCTAAATAAATTTAATTATTATTATTATGTAATTTAATTAATTAAACAAAGACAGAAGGGAGATATTATTCATAATATACCTATACATTTAAACAAAACTCGTACACATTCCTATTTTTTTTTTTAATACGACCTATCCATTTATTGTATAAGGGAGTATTTTTTTTGTGACTTTTTGTAACAGTTTTCATTTTTATGTCATTGTATGAAATATTAATTTGTTTTAATAAAATTAATTAAAATGTATATGAAACAACGTTTTTTATTCTTGAAAATTATAAAGAAAATATGGCGATACAACACTATATACCTAATGTCCTAATAATAATATACCTACACTGGTGCGACTAACGTTGGGTTAGTGTTGATACCTATGTATATTATTATTATTATTACCTACCTTATATTTCCTATTCCTATATAGTATAATATACCTATTGGTACCTATATTATATTAGATAAACTACGGCTATGATCAAGGTGGATATATATTGCATGATTATAGGACGTGGACTAAAGTAGCAAATTCTAAAACAACAAACAACTTTTGAGTTTTGTTTTTATAAATTTTGGCGCAATTTTTATTTATGTATCAGAATTAGATTTAAGCGGGGAGATGAATGTATTGGATTTACAATGTTTTTCTTTCTGTGTTTGTATACACGTTTTATAGATGAAAAAATGCTTCGAGTGTATAGGTGCAAGTACACTCGAAAGTCGAAATGTAGTACCTGGCACCTGCTATTTACTAATTAGTAAAACAACTTCAGCTGCAGTGAGTTTCTCGGTTATTAAATAATAATGAAAAACATTAATGTGACACGTGCGCATGACTATTCTCTGTCTATTCATTAAGAACACAGATTTCATTACCAAGTTACCAGACCTAATAACCTAAGACCGTAGTTTATAGTGTGCAGAGAATACGCGTGATATTGCCAGCACTTTTGGGGATTCCCACTTTACGGCCCACATGACGGAAAAAAGTCTGTTCCAATGCTTCAACCGTCATCGAAAACTTAACTTTCGCTTCAAGTGTGAAAAATATTATTTCCAATAATTTAAATCAATAGAAATGTTTTCTATACTAATTCGTTAGAATATCCAAAAACAGTATTTTGTCAAATGTAATTTTTAGTTAATAAACTGGATGGATTACAAATAAACTAGTTGGTGGAATCGAAGTTTTTTTATTTTTTATTATAATCTGTCCACGGCTGTCAGCTCACAAAGCATCTATGGCTATAGGTATGACATAACATTAAATAAGAGTACATTATTATCACAAATATTATATAATATAATTACTAAATAACATGGACTAAGATATATATCTATTACATCTTAGTCTGTGCTATATAATTATGTCTAATATCAATAATAATAATTGTATACTATACATACATGGACGATTTTTAAAAATTTTATTTGTTTGTTAGGTTGACTTTCCACCCTATTCAACATTATTATCAAATGAATAAATGCTATTGCTGTTAGACACAAATGGTATCATGGAGTCCACATTTTTCTTATATAAAAATACTTTTAAATTATTCTTACAAATTATTTTATTATTAACACAAAACTTAATTTCAACATTAATTATTGTATAGTTTTTATTATTTTTATTATTATTATTGTAAATAATTTCATAATGTTCAGCAAATATAAGAACATAATACGGTACTAATTCAAGAATTTTAAATAAATTAGGGCATGATGCATGGAATTATAACTAAAGCTAGAGTACAATCAAATATCTTATTGAATAAAAAATAATTAAATAGTTTAATAATAGAAAAGTACTTTAATAACAAAATAGGAAGTGTTTAAATACTATTTAGTATTTACACACTTAGTAAGATCGCCATAAAGCACAATTTTCCTTCGCACACTCAGAAATTATAAACATAGTGAAAAAACTCAAATTACTGTAAAGTAAACACAAACACATTTTAAATATAAAAATGTATTGAAATAAATAATTTTTATTACCAAGTGCTAACACACAAGACTAAATAGGTAGCATTAAAAAGGATACAATTTTAAATTTTAATATGTTGTCATAAAATATGTCTATTCTACTGAGTAAAAAATAAGTTATCCTTCTATGAAAGGTTTAAAATTAAAATAAATACAATGAAGTATATAATATTATTATTGGAATTACATTTTCAATGATATTATAATATCAAATAGTTAACATTTATATCTATACTTAAGTTCTAACAGGTGGATTAACTAAATAAAATTTTATTTAGATGTGCTAGCACCACTAGCTGTTTGTAAATGTTTATTTTGGTTCAGGCTTAGCAGCTTTGGCCTGGTCCCTTTTTCGCTTTTTAATTTTTTTCTTTCTTCGATCAATCACAGTTAAATGACCTTTCACTGTACTAAATTCTTCTCGTAGTTCATTCATTTTGGCTATTATAACAGCTTGCCTTTGAGCTGAGTTCATACCTGGAGCTAAAATGTTAAAATTTATGTTGATGTAATGAAAGATTGTAATTATTATAATAAATTATGTATTAGAAATATATAATTAGATTACACGTCATGCAATACATTTAAATATTATTTTATCATGTTAAAAACAGAAAGTGTAACTTTACTTACTGTATACGACCAATGGTTGGCCATCTCTTATAGGTATTTCATATAATAATTCTTCTTCATCTGATTTTTTAACATGAGTTACTATAAATTGTTTAATAGATAGTTAGTATATATTTATATTTAATAATAATATCACATAAATGCTACAGAAATATTTTAATAACATTTACAATAAATAATAGAGAACAAATATTTCGATCAACAGCTGTTAAAACTGTACCTTTAGTGACGTGCGTGGTAATTTTAATACAATTTTAATATTTACCAAGTGTAACATAATTACTATATTAAAAATAATGAAATTATTTTTTTTTTACTCTATATTGAAGTATAACTTATTCATTGATTAAATAATATACTAATAATATTTTACATATATTTAATCAATGTACTTACAAATTAATTTATTTTAAATTTTTATAATAAATATATTATATTTTTACATTTTTATGATAGTACAATAATATTACTAAAAGATATTATTACCTAAAAGAATATGGAAAATCCACAAAAATAATTAGCATATTAAAATTAGACTGTAGTAAATGATTAGCTCGCATGTGTCACCAAAGTTTAATTAAAAAGACTAATTTTAAAAACTACCTGAAGGTATAGGAGCAGTAGTAGTAGTAGACAATTTACAGCGTTTTGATGGTTGTTCATGACTGCTAATTCTGCGCTTGGATTGTAGTTTTTCTGGTGGCTTAACTACTTCTGTGAGTACATTCAATAATAATATTATACACTTTTTGAAATATATCGATTAAAATACTACTACTTACTCTCAACTGTTGTCTCTGGTTCTCTTTCAAGTGATTCCGTAACTGATGGTTCATTTATATTTATACCAAGATTCCTACTAGAAACCTCAGCTAAGAACTGTAAATGTCTTTGATCAAGTATTGCACCATCTCTATAATTTGTGATAAAATGAAAATGTTAATAATGAAATTACAATGCATTACAATTAATATAATATGAAAATAAACAGGAACCACCAAACAGTCTTAATAATTAAATATTAAACTAATAAAATATGTAAAATCTATCATGAGTTAGTGGGTATATTACTCTAATATTTTTGAATTGTTTTAATGACATTGTTTTAGATGTCTTAACTAATCAAATACTTGAAAACTCTACAATTTTGAGATTAAATAAATTTACTTAAGGATTTGATCCCGTCTCTATTTTCTACTAAAATAGACCTATTTTATGCGAACTGTATCGTCTACCCTAGCCATTGGGATAAAATTCTGAAAACATACCTATTTGAATTTGTCATGAAGTTTTTTTGAAAACGACCTTTTTTGAAATTGAACTCCTTAACTTTCAAAATCAGATTTTCAAATATCAAATATTAAGAATTTTAAAATGTTATTAATATAGACGTTAAAAAATTTATTTAAAAATGTAAGAATGTTGTTTTCAAGTGTTGTGACAAAATATTTAAATATGTTTTCAGAAATGTTATAGGATAAATAGATTACCTAATATGATTAGCGAAAGATTGATATTTCTTTCAAAAAAAAAAAAAAGAAAATAATCAATATTTGTGTATTGCTTTATTGACAATGGTGAGGGAGCAATCTGCTATTTCTTTCAAACACTCACACTAATGATCACTTACTATGCACGTATTTACACAACATACAATTGTAATCACTGAACACAAATCTGCCATGATATAAAATTGTAATACAGAGCAAACATTAGTGGCGTGAGGGGTTTTAGGTGTTTGACCCCCCCCCCCCCCCATTGACATTTCATCCCTAATAAATGTATTATTTACATACCAAAATTGTAAAAAACTTGGTTTAATTTATACTTAACCCCCTCCCTCCATTGCACAATCTTGGCTATGCCACTGGCCAACATTATGAGATTATAAAGTCCTCTTAAATCTATATTATATTCTACTAATACAATAAAGTACTTTTGTAGAATATTAGTATATTCTTCCATTTCTTCTTCCGTAGCACCCATCAATGTAATCATTGGTCTATGAAAAGATTGATTCATAGCATACATAGCTGAAGCCGCTTCTCTTTCTTCATAAAGTACTTGAAGAGCTTTATTTCTTTTTTCTTGATCATATTGTTCTTCTGATGTACCAGTTGGACTGCCTGGTATGGTTTCTTCACAAAATAGAACACTATTTACATCAGATTCAGGATTATAAAAACTTTTGCTAGTACTAGGCAAACAGTTTTCATAAAAACTGCTTTTGCTGGTACTTGGAATATTATGATCATAGAAATCTTTGCTACTGCAACTAGGAATATTGGTATCAAATAAACTTCTTTTTCCAGGAATGTTTGTATCAAAAATCACATTTTTGACTGTTTGTCTAGCTTCAAAGAAACTATTTTTTATATCACTACTAGTGTCAGTTTCATAGAAACTATCTTTGCTTGTACCTGGTTGATGTATCGAATCAAAGAAACCTTTACTAGTACTAGGCTTATGAATGTCATATTCTGCAGCTTTAAGATTGTACTCTATAACTAAAGCATTATTGAGAGTATCTTCATCTACTATTTCTTCTCTACATTGCAATTCTGGTAGCACCATAGTTTTTTCTTTCTCAAATTTTACTTTTACACTTTCGACTTCAAAATCACATTTTTTAGGCTTACCATTAATTGAAGGTTCATTAATGGAAAGCTTAGTTCCAGATTCAACAATTTCTCTATCTTCATCTGTAGGCGATCTTGAATTTGAATCAAATTCAAAACCAGATTTTTGGGTTTCGTCAATATTATCCATATAAAGTCTATTTTGACTTGAATGGTTTTCAAAATGTGAATACATTTGGAAACTTTGAATAAGAGCATTTTGAATGCTTTCATTACAAGATGTAGTACTTTCATCATCTGTATCTTTTGGTATACTTATATCTTTTTTAACTTGAGATGAACTTTTGCACTCTAATTCAATATTAGTGTGTACACTCGGTGGTAGTGGTGGCAGGGAATTTGTTTCTATGTCTTCGTCAATTTGTCCATTGGAAGAATTATGTTCTTCGCTAATAACCACAAGATCAGAATCCATTTGATAATCAGTTTCTATTTTATCATTTTCAGCTATTACCAATTTTGGTTCATCATCATCTTCATCATCATCATCTTCTTCAATGACCATACCATTGAGTTCATTTTGCTCTGGCATACTAAAAATGTTGGTAGGTGGTGATTCAGGTGGTTTCATGCATAAATCCAAAACTTCATCTTTTAAATCGGAAACAGATTCATCGTGAAAATGTGGCTCAATTTCTTTTATATTTGGCGTATCTACCGTAGCATAATTTATCATTAAGTTTTGGGATTCATTAGACTCATTGTCAGATTGATTTCTCATAATTGGATTTTTGATTTCATTAATAATGTTCAAATTTTCATTAACTTTTATTTTACCATTATTATCAGATGAATAAAAGCTATTGCTGTTAGGGACAAATGGTATCATGGACCCATTTTGTTCAACTAGTTCCTCTTGTGCTGGAGTATAAGGAACTTTTGATTGTTCATCAGATTTCTCAACGTTAAATAATCTTGGAGAGTCATGTCTAATAGATCTACAGATTTTTTCTTCAGTGACAGAAGAAATTGTATTAAAATTGCATGATTCAGATTCTTTAAATTCATAAACATCATCTGTGATTGGTTGATTAATTTTTGAAACTTCAATCTCTATTTGTTGATCTAATATGAATGATTCTGTATTTTGAATAATATCATTACTATTTGTTGATGTTGGCATTAGTCCCTTCATTTCTGATCTTATTTTGTTAAGATCAAAATCGGCACCAGATATTTTAGATTTGTTAGATTTATCATCTAATGGAGAAGAAATGAAATCATTTACTTTTTCAAATTGATTTTCTTCATCAGAAGACGTTGAGTAATTGACAATACTTGGAATTTCCGACATAGTTGAAATTGTAAACAGTTTGGATTTAATTCTGATTTCTTCATTCCGACTTTTTGAGGATTCAGACATATTATGTTCTAGATAATTTCTTTCAGATTTTTCTCTAGGTGACAAATAATGATTGGGGGCAATTTTTGGTTCAATTTTTATAGCATTGTCAATTTTACTTTTGTTCTTTGCTTCTACATTTTCATTAACTTCATTTGGTTTTATACTTGGTAGTTGCATCACAAAATTAAAATCAAATGCCGGTTCAAGAGTAACTGGTTCACAAACCTTAACTTCTTCAGATTTAATGCTATTAACATTAAACACACATGACTTTTGTTTTCTTAGTGCACTTCGATTCATAAGTACTTCTTTACTGGGATATGTCTTCGGATATAGTGTCTTTTTCTGATTATCAGTGTCTGACGGCTCAGTTTTAATAATACCAACACCTGGTTCAGATTTTATGACTTTTTTCTTACTATATTGTTTTGTTGGTCCTACAATTGCAGTGTATTCTTCTTCCGAATCAGAAATATCTACAATATAATAATATATTAAATAAATTGAATTATTATACATCAATACATCATAATATTATATATATAATTTTTAAATCATGATTGCCATAGGTCTATACTGAGTGATCTATGAATTATGAGAAATATCTTAATTTCAGGATAGGGGTTATGGAAATAATTTTTAAAATATAGATGCAAACATCCAGAGATCATCAAAGAATAAACTATGGTGGGAAAGTGGTTGATTGCCTGAGATTCAATAGGAAGTTACCCGATATACTATCAGGGCAAATTTAGTGAATATTAATAATAATATTTATAATGATAATTTAAATGTGAAATACTATTATACTCAAACAAGCTGCTTATGAATAAATTCAAAAACTTTATTTTGGATTTTTGGTGGAGTTTTCAGTTTGGTCATTCATTTAATCAATATTGTATAATAAATGTTTAATAAGATATTTAATTTAACAGAACTTATTTGTAATAGGTTGTAAAGATTAAATTATTAAAAGAATTATTATAAATTTAAATTTTTTTTTTTTTAGGTAATTCGTTTTACTGATTATTGATTGTTATATTAAATAATATTATAAAGTTACACAGTAAAAACAAATTACATTTTCATTAAAGTTTAATCATTTTACAATAGATTATAATTTATGTTTTTAATTTTGTGAAAATATAATCATGTATGTAAATATGAAATGGATGGTAAAGCAACAACCAATATCCTCAATAGGTGCATATTGTTTGTTTACTCTGATTGAACCTATTTATGTATCTTTATAAATATAAATTAGCAATAATATTTTACATACCAATATCGAATAATGGACGATCGGTCAAAGTACATGATCTTATAGGTCGAGCACTGCTAAAAGGTGATTTTTTAATATTTAAATTTGATGGGAGTGGAGTGACTGATCTTTTAGTTCTATTAGTTGTTGATGGTACCTTCTTTGGATCCACATTTTTTTGCTAAAAAAAAATATTAATATTGTTAGATTTAGGTAGGATTTATTCTATTTTTCTTACTGTTATAAATAATATAATAATATAAACTAAGTGTCTACCTAACCCAATACCAATTCAAATATCTTGAGTTAATATTTAAATATATTTGTTCCTCAAAATTGTATTGGAAATATTAAAACTTTAAGCTAGTACCACTCATAGGGATATTAACCTTTTTTTTTATTAGATAAAATATAGTATTTACAATCTCTAATATTTATATATAATAGAGTAAGTAAATTTGATAGCTAATATAAGATACATAACATGAAATGGCATGAGGAAGGGGCCCACCAGTATGAATACTCTATAACTTGTGGTAGAGAAGTTTTATTTTTTTTAATTAATGCAGGTCGGGACTCAAGAGATCTCGACACCAGTGTCCTTTTAATCGACGTGGGAGATTATAATTATTTACTTACTTCTATATATATATATAAAACCGATTATATTATTTGGATTAAATATTAAAAATATAATAATTAAAGTAAATAATATACTATACTCAAAGTTTAAAACTATACAATAAATTATTAAATTTTGGTAATCATTTTTAAAAGGTACTTTATAAATATCAAACGTTTAACATATTATTGAATTAATGTTCATACTATTTAATAGAAATAAAAAAGAATTATTTTTGCATTGGCAAACTGTTTAATGGACAATTAATCCATCAAGAATTATGGATTGTCTTGTAATGTATGTAATATGCAACATAACATATATCAACAGAATAATATTTTTAAATGTATTTAATTATGATCATTCCTTTTTACATAATTAAATGTTGTATAGTATTTTCTTATATGACTGTGTATATGACTAATTACAAATTATAAAATTATAAAAATACATTAATTCATTGTACAAAATTACTATGCAATTACAGATGTTAGTAATCTATAGAAAACATAATTCTATAAATAACTAATACTAAGTTAAGCATAATATTCATAATTACTTAAAAGTAATTTAAAAATAATTATCTTAATATAACTCTTTAATATTAAATCGAAAATCAAAAAAACCAAATATAAAAATTTAAATTAAATTAAATATTTTCCATCTAATCTTTTTACAACTATTATACATACTTCTGAAGGACTACTTTTTGAAAAATCTACATCATTATCTATTTCAGGTCCTGGTTCTGGATCCTTAGTTTTATAAGCAATACGCGTTACATCTATCCATTCATCATAACGTGAATTCCATCCTTTATAATGTACATAATATTTCATTACACCTTCAATATCACACACATTAATAACCTAAAAATGTACAGTATTTATGTAATTTGATTATTATAAATAATAAAAATGTACAATATTGTATATATTCTATATATGTATTACATTATATCAAAGTATTTAGGTCATGGATGATAATTGAACTCAAATTTCAAGCAAATTGCATACAAATAAATAATTTTGGAGATTACTAAAATAAGAATTGTAATCAATAAAAACAATTTATATCCAAAATATTATATCCATAACTATTATGTAACTTTTTTTAACCATTTTATAAAAGCACAAATTTATTTATCTGTATATATAAAAATGAATTCCCATTTCACTTGAGAAAGCCTTTACTGATTTAATTTCTGTTGTTTTCCTAATTGTCAGGATAAGGTTTGTATGAAAGACAATTCTAGGAAAACCCACCGGGAAAGTAGGAAATCTTGATGTAAAAAATACAACAGTAACCGCCATCCGTCCAGCATGAAAATAAACTAAATAATAATATATTTTTGTTTATTGGTAGGTTGCTATTGATTATGAATTATGATTGCATATAATTTTAGACTTGTTAAAACCATATAGTATTACTATCCAAAATTTTTGACCATTGTCCCGGGAACAAACACGTCATACACATCATAAACGTGGTAATAAAATATGCACCTCTAGGGGTGAACAGTCTACCACAGGTGTATTTCCTACCTAAAAATCACAAACGTGTCTCACGGCAACAAAGAGTGGGATGAGAGCTAAAATATAATATAATCGAACGTGTCCTGACTCATTGATTGACCAACTTAGAGCTTAAATAATGATAGCATGAGGCTTTCAATTTTCATGGCACCTTTGTACCACCACGTGAGTTAGCACTAAGAAAACATTTTCTAAAATTCACATTTTATAAAGTGGTGCTTGCACAAGTATTCTGTGATTCAAGATGATCGATAAAAAGTTTTAAGTTTACCATACACGGAATATTAAATATGAATTGAACAAAGTTTTAATCATATACCTAGAGTTAGCACTTTTAATGGGTGACAAAATGTACAGGATTAGCTAGTTCATGATATTTATAAGTTATAAGTTAATGTATTGAATAATAACAAAATATAATCAATAATTAATTACTTTCTTTGCCTATATAGTTTATTTATAATGATTAAAAATAAGATTTATTCCTTTAGCTTGATTGTAATTTTGAGTAAGACATAATATTATTGTAAAAAGATAAATTCAAACTATATTTATAAAACAAAATATATATTTTTTATGTAATGGAATAACTTACTTTTGCATCATAAGTTGTTGCTTGTTTATCTCCGTAGTATACTACAAGATTATCTCCAACAAGCACTGGTGAGTTTTTATCAAACGGAACATTTTCAATACTAAATTAACAAAAATATAATAACAGTATTAAATAATATGAAATATATAGGTTTATAGTATATTATTATCATAGTTTATAAACATACATAGATATAGGAATTATTTCGTTTGAGGTCGCTTTTTCCTCTTTATAGTTCTTTTTTTTTCTTTGAGTTTTCTTCTTTTCAATTCTGCCCTCTTTTTTAATTTTAATTAGATTTTCTACAAGAAGTCCAGGCTGGGTAAGTTGTACCACAGAAGCACTGTCAGCAAGATCATTTAATATTGATACTCTCCTTGATTTAGTAGGTAAATCTTCTTTGGTTTTTGATCGAGTAAGCTAAAATAAGAAAACGAAACATTAATTTTTAAAAACTTAATTTATTAATAATAAATAGATATTATGTTAAAATTTTATTTTCAAAACCAAGCTACATTTATCAATTTCTACATAAATATCTAGCAAATATTATAATGAATTTAAATATATTGAATTATAAAGTGAAGTAGAGTATTTTATTCATTTTCTTTCATAAATTGGAGTTAATGGAAATCGCATAATTTAGTAGTATAAATAAATAATCAAATTGAATAATAAAAAGCATAATATACAACATATTAAACAAATTTTACTTTTGGTACTTCTTCAACGAGTTTTCCTTTATTTGAAGCATCTTGCAGGGTATTAGAAGTTCCTCTCTTAGACTTTTTTAATGGAGTCAATCCTAGAAAACAAAAGTTTTAATTTTTTTCATTGAAAACTCTAATTTTTCTCATACCTGATAAACCAGTATTTGCAGATTTAACTTTTACAACTTTTTCTTTGTTAGTAGTTTTTTGCACAGATTTTCCAAATAAATTTTTTGGAAATGTTTTTTTTTCTATTTTTTTATCTTCAATGATTTGATCATCATCTACTGTATCAGAATTTATCTCTTTTTTTACTTCTTTTTTTATTTCTTTTATTTCTTTTCTAGGTTTAGTATTTCTAACTGGATCCTTTGTTTCTGTTAGATCTGGATCCCATTTCACTGATTGTTTATTACGTGATGTACTATTAGGAACATCTTTTTTTTTATCACCTTTCTTTGAAGTTTTTTCATTGTTCTTAAGAAGTTTCGCTTCAGCTTGAATAGCTTTGGCTGTTTTTTTATCTACAGTAGACTCATTATCTTTTTTATTGTTTAATTCATTTTTTGCACACTTATTTTTATCAGTCGCAGATGATGTGCTAGGCAGAGCTTTATCAACATCCCTAATAAGGCTGCGACTAAATCTACTGTGCAATCTTCCTCCCCTTGGATGACTCAACATTGTGCATCCGAGTTTTCGATGAAATTCCTCAAACCTATTTAAATATCTGTAATGCAACACAAAAAGAAGTGGAAAATTTATAAAAATAAATTTAAATTTACATATATTTTTTCTTAATTATTAATGCACAATACACTTGTTTTTGTTTACTACAACATGTAAATCAAATAGTGGTGGTTAAAGAAGATTCATGTACATAAAAAAAAACCTTTCATATGAGAACAGCATACTGAGAAAAGACAAAAATATAAATAGGTAGGTCGTAGGTATCTCAGTTATGGCACAATTTTATATAAAACAACAAAGTACCAAGGTATTTAATTAAATAACACCATTTAATACTTTAACTTATATACATAAATAATTATATTTTTAGATAAATGTAAGGTTATAATATTAATGTAATATACATTAGATCATTTGATGTTTTAAAAGCATTAGTTTATATTATGAATTAAAATAAAATCTAATTTTTAGGAAATATAACTTAGTTATTTAAACTAATATTTAATAGTTGGAAGACAATTAATTTAATATGAAAAACAAACTTTAATTTGTAATAATGTCAGGCAATTGAATCGATTTTAAAATATTAAAATATACAAATAATTATATTCAAATTGTATATTAAAGACATAATAAAAATGTATGTTTAAAGTAATTTATATAAGCATGATGATATTATTTAAGGAAACATTTTTATGATAATTATTAAGAAATTAAATACTATACTGATATTTAATAAAATTAAAATTGATGATTTAAGTATTTTTTAACATTTAACAATCAATATACTGAGATATAAAGAAGCTTATTAAACATTTTATTAGAAATGGCAACATTGTAAATTTCAAATAAGTATTAAATTTTTTTTTTATTTTAGCCTAGATAAATATAATTAACTAGCTAACCCCGTGCACTTTGTTGCCAGTTAAATTTACCAATTCTTTATGACTCAAACTTTGATCAATTTGTTATTTAATATTCGGTGTATTGTGTTCAAAACTTATCTTAACTTTTCCATTGCCAGGAATAAAAATTCTGATTTGCAGCAATATATTATCAGGTAGGCAATCTGTTGTGCTGTTTGTACGTTAGTGTATGATTTAACTCTTAGGTATCAAAGTTATATCAAGTTTGTCGTTTTTTACTTAATTTCACCTACGGAGGATTAATATAATCAATTAATACAAAATCCTAACCTAACCTAACCGTACATTAATCCGATAAGCAAAAAAACCAAATTTAACCTTTTTTAAATTAGCCTATCTTCTTCCCATAGGTCTTATCTATTATTATTTTAATCAGCAACAAAAAACTACATTTGTATTATTTAGTTGATTTTTTTCTGGACAAATGGCGCCTCTGTTGTACTTTGACATCCAGATTTCCACTTTTAAGGTGGATTTTTTAAAATTGTCTTTCATAAAACCTTGTCCTGACAATTACGAACACAACATAAAAAGAATCTGCCAAATCTGGACAGCCGTTCTCTATTGATGAATTACTATACATTTTTGACACCATTTTTATATATATATATAGATTATAAATAAATAAACTTACTGTTCATAGCAATGTTTAACAGAAAAAAATGACTGTTCTTCATGTCCAACTTTATTTGCAACAAACTTCCATAGTAGACCTTTATTTACTTTATTATACCCTCCACAATTATTGACAACCTAAAAATAATTAATACCATTAATTATTATTAGCCAGATAAGTGGATATAATTTATAAATACTATTTGAAAATTTGAATTAAATAAATCAAGAGAGTTAACTTAAATTACTTGTTTGTTTTTCAGAAGTAGGTATAAAATAGAAAAAGTAGTTTCTTTTAGTTATTGTTTAGCGGACCTACCAACTATTTTTATAATTATCAAGAGTATTTTTAAGTATTATAAATTTATACAAGCAGCAACTAGTTGATATATAAAATAGCAGTGTTGGGAAGGAACACACCACTTTTATAGGAACACGTTTGTTTTAAAATATTGGAACAAGGATCGGGAAAGATTTCCTATTTTTAAGGAACTTGAACAAAAATTACTGTTCCTAAAATTATGGAAAAAAAAAATTGAAGTTATTTTTATTATAATATTTTCTAGAATATATTTAGTGTTGGTAATTTGGTATTACTTAGTCAGTCACTAGTAAATATTAAATAGTATAATATACCGTGATCCCAACATTTCCCAATGGGTTTATAACCTATAGCAGTATAGCACTGTCTAGTGTCTATAGCATGTGTGACATAGCGGTGTATATGTATAATATGCAATATATATAATATATAATATATTTATAGTATGGACAGTGTTCATCTTATATTTATTATCATATAATAAAACAATTCTGAGTGAAAGAGTGAGTTTTAGTCAAAATAATAAACTTTTTACTGGAGAAAGTTTTACCATCATTAATCGATGAAAATTTCAAATTTACGCTATACAATTTTTGAATTTTAACAAATAAACCAAATCATCTTTGTTAAAAATCAGTGATCCTTGGAGATGTTTTTCCTCTATTTTTCCATCAGTTTTAATATAATGAATATAAAAATTAGCTGATTATTTTTGGTTTAAAAGTTGACTGCAAAAAAACGCCACTGACAACCGCTCAGATTGCAAAAAAAAAATTTATAGCAACTTTCCCCAACACTGTAAAATAGATTGATTTATTTTTGTAAAAGATCTTAAATAAATAACAATGCAAATAGAGTAAAAGAATTTAATATTTTTTATGCAAAAATAATAAATGTTAACGCCCAATTTATGTGTTAAATCACTACAACTGGCTATTTACTCCCCAATTATATCTTATAAAAAGTATATTATACTATAGTATAACATTAATTAATCAAATACCTTAAAGAGTTTATATAAATCAACATCTTTCTCATTAATGACTGGAGCTTGATTAAGAGGAGTTCCTCGATCATCCATAAATTTAAATAACTGTGCGACAAAATGATCTTTTTCTTCAATTGATTCTTCATCAGAATTCTTAATAAAAAAATATTGTATTAAACAAAACATATCAATAGTTAAAACATCAATAGTAAGATGTATTTTTTTTAAATTTTTACTATATATAATATATAATATATATAAATTATATAATAATATAATATAATATATAATATTTTTACAATATTTCAAAACTAGTGGGAAATACATTAACCATGGTAATCCAACCAGTTATTTTAAACATAAAAATACTTACATTGCCATCAAATACTTCACTATTTCGTGCAATAAAAATTCTATTAACACCAAATAATAAATCTCTATCCCAATGTGATGGGAGTTCGTCTTTGTCCAGAAAGAATAGGGCTTTTTCGACGGCTAAAAAAAAACAATAATCATGATAAATTTGGATAGAATCATATATATACATTCAAATATTACCAGTTTTAAGTGTAGGATTTTCCACTCTAGCACCAATTTCTTTTGTAAATTCAGTAGTTTCTTTTTTTACTGCCGTATAGCTGTAATTATAAAATATGATAGTTAATAGTTAATTAAACTAATACACTATGGTATAGTGTCGTTTGCTATCTACAGTCGATTTATTGGTGTTGTATTAATAAAAGTTATCTACACATTTTCCCATTCTATTTTTAATACATTAAAAACTGGTTACGATTGTATTCGTAATTGCTTTGTCATCTAGTATGTGTTTGGTGCTTGATAAACACTGTGTGCATATTTGTATTCTAGTGTTTATGTGAGTATTATGAAAATGAATAATTTGGGTGATTTATACAGAAACATTATTTTTTAACGATGAATCTTGTGTCAAATTTTTAAAAGAATGTGGGTTATTACTGAATTAAAATGTATGTACTAAATTAAATGCTGTGGGTGATGTGTGTGGTGGTAACATTAAAGAAACTTTAAGCAATAGTCAAAAATGAGATCCAACCGGTCAATTAGTTAAAAAACCAAATACATGTGATGCCAAACATGGGGCTCTCAAAAATGGCAATCAATACGTACCCAAAATCCATTTTTTCCTACTTAAATAAAGCATAAATAATGAAATAATTGAACTTGTTCGGTGCTGGGTAAATTAATTTAAAGTTGCACAAACCAAAAAAATAACTGGTAGATGTCATCTTACAGTCTCAGTAATCTTAGTAATATTATTAGTACATTCTATGTCAAGACGTTGTGGGCTGTGGCACAAACATGGAAAAATGGGTGGAAAAGGATTAATAGTACAAATAAACGAATCTATCTTAAAGGAAAATGTAAGTACAAGTAAATGTAGGTCTTGGAGATTGTAAACCTGTTGATAATGAAAATACTGATGGTAATACTACTGATACTTCTGAGGATAATTCTGACGAAGAATATCAAAACTACAATACTAATCGAAATTATGGCAGTCGAGTTCAAGGACCTTGGGTGCTGCTGTTTGTGTGAAGATGGAATTTTGGAAAACTGTTTTTTTGTAGTCAATAAGAGTGATCGAGAAACATTATTACCAATAATAATTCAAGAAATAGAACCAGGATCAACAGTACATTCAAATGAGTGGAGAGCATACAGCACTTTAAATAATTACGGTTTTCTTCACTAAACTGTTAACCATAGTAAGAACTTCATAAATCCAGGTGCTCAAACATAAACAATTGAGTATTTATGGACACACGTAAAAGTAAAATGTAATATAAAAATCATGTGGTGCAACAAATAACCTACTCGAAAGGCAACTACAGGAAGAATTTCAGGTCCAACCGACCGAAGTCTTTGAAAGTTTTTTAAGAGACATAAAAGATACATTTGTATAAGATGATTAAAATTTAAATGACAACTGTAATACTTTAACAGTAAAAATGTTTAAGTAAGTTAAGAACACATTTTTTCACGTAGATAGCATATAACACAAGTAGTCATTTTTTGTAGATAGCATACAAAACTTTAGTAGTGCTTACTATTTTCCATCCTTAAATGAACGAACTAGGTAGTCTTTTTCAACATTAGTTTTGATTGAGGATTGTGAAGTGGGTGCAACTATCAAACCAGGAAACCAATTGTCTCTTACTTTCTTTTTGTCATAAGCTTCTACACAAACTACTTTTCCAATATCTTTTTCCTCCATTGCTGAAGATTCTTCTTCACCACTTTCCCTTTATTTTGCAAGACAATTAGTTAAAGTTGAAATTAAAATATGCAAGTTACAACTATAAAAATAACTGAAAATACAATAAAATATTTGTATGTGTGTAAGCAATTACCCAGAACTTTTTTTATGTTTTCTTCTACGACCTTGAACAATAGTGGTTGTTACAGGTGTAACCCCAATATGTTCAGGGTGTGTAAGTGGAAGTTGATCCAGAGTAGCACTAGCAGCAAAATGTCTTCCACTTTTCAGACATAACGCTGTTCTCTTTAAACATGCTACATCTCCATCATCAAATACTGCAAAAAAACCAAATTAAATCTATTAAATATAAATATAATTATAAAAAAATACATACCAACAGTGTATTGACTACAATCTTGAATCTTTTGAATTGTTGCTCTAAGTAATTTTTTTTTCTTACTACATAGTATTGTTACAGTAGCCCCCACCTTAATGTAATAAAAAGTATATTAATACATATTAAGCAGTCAGGTATAATATTTTTATTTTATATAGATTATAATTTATAACCTTTAGTTGTCCTTTTACTGCATCATCCGTGACAAATGTTGATATCCCATTAGAATATTGAACCTTAACAGAAAAATATACATTTAATAATATGAATGTATTAAAATAAAAAAGGTTTTATGATAGAAAAATAAATTTACTTTGCATTTTACATTTTTTGATACTTTTTGGATTTTTGCTTCACAAAATGCCCCTTTGTACTTGGCACTTACATCTGTTCCGACAACAAAAAAAGGCGGTTCATCCAAATGCGCCTATGTTTTAAAAATAAAATATTATTTTTTTATATTTAATAATAACAATGTAGTTTTGAAGTACATTAATAATATAAGCACTCTTAAATATGTAGTCATAGAATTCAATAATTAACTGGCTAAAAACTAATAAATTCAATGAATTATTCAATACTAACCTAACTTTGTTGATACTATCATCTATAATTAAATGTTTAACATAAGTCAACTCTAATTACAAGATATTGTTCAAACTATATTACATTTATAATACAATTTATTTAATATTTGCATAAAGCATAATCAATAATAAGCCATAATTCAAAAAATTTAAAATATCGATGAAAGATAAAATAAATATAAATTAATATTTACAGTTGAGATTTCATCAATCCTTTAACACAGAAAGACTCTTTGAAAGACTGATTTTTTTGATAAAATATTCACCTTCAGTTAGTAGTGAAATTGTACACTAGGTATAATTATTTTAAGCTCAGTAATAACAAGAAAACATTTTTTCTCAATCAACCAACTGAAGTTTAACTTCACATTTGACTAACATTAAATTACATAGTCAAAAGTGTATTGCAGCACACATTATACCAAAGCTGGGCAAGTTAACTATTTTTTTTTAACTCGTTAAGTTAAGTTAATATAGAAAAATGTAAGTTAAGTTTAAATTTAAAAGTTAACTTTTTTATTTTAACTTGTAAAAGTTACAAGTTAATTAGAAAATAAAAGTAACTTTACTTAGTTAAAGATAAGTTTCTTTTTTTTTTTTTTTTAAATAATATTAATAGTTATACCTACCTACCTTAAAGCCAAAAATTAATATAATAATTCAAAAAATCAATAAATGTCTTACAATTTTTAAATAAATGTTGTAATAAAATAAGTTACTGTAGGTATTTATATTTGTATATTATACTTAACTCAATGATGAAATCCAATAAAATAATTAAATTATTGTTAGGTATTTGTTAACGTAAATGGTCCACAACTATACTAAATATTATAATAATCAAATTCATTATTATTTATTAGAATATAATATAATATCAAATATTATGCAATTAATATTTAATAGTAAGAATTTAGAAATACCTAAATAAGATGAACTACTACGCTACTACGGGTATTATACTATAATTTACACCGACGGGCCAAGCTATCGCTGTAATTCTATGAATAAATACAAATATAATAAGTAATAATATTAATAATGATTAGGTATATGATATAGGTTAGGTTAAAATATTTCGTGTATGGGTAGGTACTGAGTAAATTGTTATATTTTTCTTTTATTAATGACGAGGTTACCTAGTGTGGAAAACACTTAATACATTTAAAAAATAGAAATAAGATTTTTTTTTTAAGACAGAATTCAAAATAAATTTTATCAAATTTTCTAATAACACTATGATGTATTAAAAAATAAGAAAAAATGCCTTAAAAAAACAAAATGAAAGTTTAATTTTTTATTCTCTGATAATATATGAGATTAATTATGTGCTTGGATAGCATTGTTTTAAGGACATAAAAAAAAAAAATGCAATTTGCATTGAAGTTCGCTTCCTAGTAATTATGATTGGATATAATTCATTAGTGATCTACTTTAAATTTAATATGTTTATAATTAAAAAAAAAAGTTTAATATTATTTAATATTTTTATTCTTTAAAATATTATTTATATACATAATATTTTAGTATTATAATTGATTTATAACTATTATAATATGTCTTGAAGAATTTTACAAATAGGTAACATAGGTCGCAAAACCCATGCCCGAAGATGATAATGTCAACAAGAACGTAATGAGTTAAAGAAACTAAATATTTAATTAAAGACCAAAAAAAAAATATAATATATACATATAAGGCTTTGACTATCACCATTGATTATAAATACTATAGATTGCTCACTGCGGTACAAAATATGCTAAGCTAAATCTACTAGCGATCCTGGTGTTATTATCCAGAACCGACTAGGCAGCCAGGGTTTAAGATACACATCCCAGTCAGTTCTGGATAATAACACCATGTTTACTAGTAGGATATTTTGTATCACAGTGAGCGATCTATAGTATTCTTAATCAATGCTAGTACCAATCACTTCATCTTATTTTTGTAAACTGCCACACCTAATTTATAATCAATAATATATGATATTGCACTTGTACTACCTAACTTCAACACTACAATATAAAATTAAGGTTAAAAAGGTTCTAAGAAAATGGGCTAATCATTAAAATTGAATACTTAATTTAAATACATATTTTATACCACGGTTTTTTTCAGAATTATCAATTCTAGTAATTTCAATCTTATTTTTATAACTTATAATGAATAATGATTAAATAATATTAAATGTATGTGTAGTAATAAAGCATAGGTTTTAACACTATTTAATAATTTATGTATTTTCATTTGAAACCAACCAGAAGATATAATCTTGAGATATATGGTATCATATATAATAAATATCTCATATATAGTATAGGTAGATATATATCTATGATCTAAGTAAAATATATTTTAATAGTAAATATACGACCATACTACATACTGACTTCCATTTTAAGTGTTAATGGAATAACAAGTAGGTACATGTAGTAGACCTCGTTCATATGTCATCTTTTTCATTCTGAAATCAACCCATGGATAAAAACAACTAGGTTCATTTATTTACTTTTTATGCAGTAAGTGGAATCATTACCAAGTTGAACAACCAACAACTGAATAGTTGCTCCAGAATAAGTATACTAAACTAAAGTTGCCATTCTTATTTATATTTTATAATATCTTAAAGTGCCTTCATTATAGAACATTTAAAAATATCAAAATAATATTAACAGTTGACATATTATTAACTTTCTTATCTCATCTAGTAATATAAAAATATGAAAGAAATGTATTGTTCATATTACCTCAAAACATTGTAAGTAAAAATAACTTATAATGTTATGATTTAACAAATAATTATACACATGATTCATATTATAAAATAAAATAAAATATATTTTATCTGTATATAACATTTATTCAATTTACTAAGCTTAAATGAACAAAATTGTATTTGTAATTTAATTGCTATAATAAATTTAAAAACTCCATCTTCTATGATAAATAAAAATAAATACATTTAAGTTTTAATAGGAAACATTATTTCATTTAAATAATTATTTATTATTTAATAGTACTAGGCAGTATAAAATTAAACATATATTTCTAAACAAGAACATTATTTAATATTTATAGGACATGAAAAAATGCTGGTTAAAATAGTTAACCCTTAGTCAATGGCAACTCTAGCTCTAAGATATAATTCTAAATGGAAATTTAAGCCAAACAAACTAACATTAATTAAATTAAACGTTTGTGAATATAATTTTTGACATATTTCATAGATTTATTAAGATACCATACATTTATGCATAGTTTTAAGTTGATTATTTTACAACTATTGAAGACATTTTTAACTATTTATTATGTTTATTATTGTGTTAAACGAGATGTAATAATAATGAGATAGGAATAACAGAAGTACACTACAAAATTATTTAATACAATTGTTTTAAAAATTAGAAACAATGACTGACAATTTACTTTAATAAGATTTTAAACATTTATACCTAATTAATTTTATTTTAAGATTTGGCTTAAACTTCCAAAGTTTACTTTTTGTCTTTATTAGTATTAAATTATGTATGAGAAATTGAGTAATACAAACCATTGTAAATGCCGGTTTTTATCTTGTATGTTTTGTAAAAATGATTATTCCTCTTAATTACATTATTTTATAATACGCTTTTTAATCTGAAAAATACAATAAAATAAAATATAAGTAGGTACATTATTTTACAATTTTATAAAATACAGGGGAACTTGAATATTATTTAAAATGTTATTAAGTATGTGGTGTATTCATTATTTTCATAATATACCTATTCTTAGCACAATGTTTAGGTAATAGTGTAACTGGGTGGCATGTTGGTTCTCAGTAAATTTGATTAACAATATACAAAACTGGGGATATTTGTAGTAATATATTCTTGAACTTAAAGTAAGTATTAGGATATTAGTAACTAGTTAGACCCAAAGCCTAGGTTATATAAAATATAAAAATAAACAATAATACTATAATTCCTTAATTAAAAATATATTGATACCTAAACTAGAAATATGTGACTTATGAACTTATGCAGGATTAATAATTATAATATGTTAATAAGTACAGATAAAAATTGATCATATGGTTTAGATGACCTGTATGCTGCTGATATACAATTATTATTCATGTATAGTAATAATGTAATATAATATCTACTTATAAATCTTTAATAACCTATATAGGTACATTATATTAAAGTAACAACATATGGTTCTACATATTTAAACAGAAACATTATTACTAAAATATGTCATTTGGTAATGATTAACGTGTATTCAAGGGTGATCAAATATCTACTCTAGAAATTTGTTGGTCCCCTGAGTGCCAACGCAAGCACGAAGTGTTAAACTGTTATGACATTGAGCGTACAAATTATCACAAAACAAACAAGATTAATTTAAGAAACAACTACTGAATCCTATCTTTGAAATATACAAGTATAACACAACATTTATGATTGAATTCCCATACTGACAACTGACATATTAAGAAGACAAATAGGAGGGGCCCCTAAAAGGGAGGACGATTTCCACCGGCAGCATTTTTTTGAGAGTAGCGCAAATAATAACGAGTTTAAATGGGGGGGGAGGATAAATATAATTCTAAATACACAGCATTGATACCCACTCATTCTTGTCAATGAAAAAAATTCCCTATGAACCTTTGTAAAAACGAACCACTGATGATCGTAGAAACGAACGCGCAACATGGACGCCAATCTGGAATTCTCCGTGCAGAGACGCCGCGGGGGTCACAGACGACGTGTATTGATCGAGTGAAAAATGCGCAGTCCCGGACAACACCGAAATAGAAGAGCTGACTCTGTTCGAGATCGAAAACCGTTCACAGTCGAACGGATAGACGAAATATTAATAATAATGCAAAGTGAATCGTTACCGGTAATATTTCTCTCATACTGAAGGAGACGACGCAGAACAAAAGTCCGTTGAGAAACAGCAATGGCATCGGCAGTCGACGGCAGACGAGACGAGTACCGCGGCCCTCGGTGAGTAGGACGCGCCGAGAATGTACGTTTGTACGATAGGGTCGGCGGCGGGAAACAGCAATGGCTTCGGCAGTCGACGGCAGACGAGACGAGTACCGCGCCGCTCGGTGAGTAGAACGCGCCGAGAATGTTTGTACGATAGGGTCGGCGGGCGGAAGGACAGACGTCGGACAGTAGTTGTAGCACAGGCCACAGAATAATATGTGGTTCCTCTCTAGTCTCTACTATGCGTTCAAGCGTTTTTCGTTTTCGTTATTGAGTTTGCGCTACCACGAACAAAATAATTACAATAATATTGTTTATACAGTGTGATAAGAATATTTCAGTGGTTTCCAAAAGTCATTCCCGCTTGCTTACACGAATATTATTAACGGCAAACTTTATCATCGACTGTTAATGCCATAAACCTATATGATAATTGATAACATAATAAAATACATTCATTATTGTCTTAGTCCGTGATTATTGTTTTGTAATCTGTGATCATAACACATAAATCATAATATTACTAATTTTTTTTATAAATATTTTACATACTGTATTTTAATTATATTCGTATTTCGTTAATGCAATTTTTCGGGACAATACTGAACTACGCACAAATTTGCAAATCAACTGTATAAAATCGTTTATAGACTACAGGTCCCCAATTCTTGTCGGCACGAATTACATGGCGGTGTCGCCGTGTCGGTCACAAATGTATTGTGACAAGGTTTGCGATTTCTATTTTCATTTTTATAATCTGCAACTTCAGTATTATAGTCAAGTTATTTTTAGTTTTTACACGTAATTATTTTTGAATATGAAAGCATACCATTCGCACAAAATACTATTCGAAGTGGCCCTATTCTCAAATCAATAGAAAATATTTATTCATTTGTCGGATACTCAGATTTCAACTTTTGATCAATCTTTATTTTTCAATCCATGCTATTCAGTAATCTCAAGATAGTATACACTATACAGTATACGCTTATCTGTATTCGGTGCTTGGGATGTCACTGAGTGGCTAATTGTTATTTTCCAGTGAAGAATAATATATATATCGACAATATTGTGAATTTGGGGATTGTGGTAGCCCTTTGGTAAATCATAACAATTAGGTACTCATTATAGTCATTATACTAATGAATTGCTAAAATAAAATCTAACAAGTTTCAACTATAGGTAGCTGGTCCCTATCACTAATTTTGTGTCTATAATTCTGTATTAGTGAACGGTTCCTATATAATGAATGTATTTCATCAACAACTACCAAGAGTTAATACATTATGCTACACTGACTCCTAAGGCATTCAAACTAGGGAATTGTGTTCTTCTCTTATAGATTCTAGCTAATTATAGCTTTGATGAGTCCCTACTCTGCCATATTAGCTATTATTTGACAACTATGCATCAATGGATGAGTTACATGTGGCTTAATAACAAATCACTGTACCTTCGTCTTGTGTTTCTCAAGCTGCAATTTTATCCCATTTATTTTTTTTCTGTTGGTAAATATTGCATTTTACATATTTTGTTGTCCAAAAATAATATTATACGTTTATGATACAAAGCTATTTATGAATACCTACCTTTTATTATTATAAATTATTTTTAGTAATAATATGTACACAGGTACCTACTTTTATTTTTTTAATAAACATTTAACTTGTACTTATCTTTCATCCGATTCGTATCTAAACTATTGCTTTTCTTTAAAATTTAATGAATCCTTCATATATGTGTGTTGTTTTCTGAATTTAAATTTTTTATTCTTAATTAGGTGACAAAAGTGTTTGCTTACTATGAAAAATTGCTGTATGAAGAAAAATAAACACGGGACAGACACTGGTGACATTCAATTCTTCGTTCATTATAAAGGTTTTGAAACTAAATGCGATGAAGAGTTGGGGACAAGTTGGAGATTAATAAAATTAATTTGGGTCACAAAGAAAGGTTAGAATCTAGTCCATAAGAAATTAATTAATTATCGCTACTCATCACTTATAAGTTATAAGTTATAAGTTATAACCATTTATTTATAAAACATATATATATAATAATTATTTAATGTAAATAATATTCAAAAAGATAAAAAAAAAAGTAAAAAATCCTGAAGAAGTAAATATAACAAAAGGTGCTTCTTTGCAAAAAGAGATGTATAGTTTTATATTTATTTTGTATTTCATATTTGTCATTGTTATGTTTTATTAAAACTAGGCCGGCCCAAAAAAATGTAGAACCAGCAACCAGCAATAGAACAATCTGCAATATCGGCTTTGGAATATAAAGCAGCTGTTCGAGCTGTTGCTATTATCATATTAAACATTATTTCCTGTTCAAAGGTACCTATTACAAATAGTGTAAAATGTAAAGTTAAGAATTGGAGATATTTATCTATGTAAATCTGATTTTTATTTTAGTTTCTTGCAAATGAAGTTTGCAAATTAAAACTACCACTTAGTTTAAAGGAAGCAACGGATTTTGATCGTACGATGCACAATACATTCCAAAAGGTACGATACATTTCATTTTTATACGTATGATTATATCATTGTAATATTGATTGCTTGGTTTCAGTTATTAAAAGACTATTAAAGTTTCCAGAGAAAAACTTTTCGACAGAAGTAATCCATACCTTCAATAATTCATCGTATTTGATCGATGACAGCTAAAAGTAATTATTTAATAACTATCTAAATGTATTACTAGGAAATATTTTATACTATATTAGTTTTAGGAAATGTTCAACGATGTTCTGTGTTACCTTAATTCAATATCTTAATACTTCTGTTTACAAACATCTAACATACATGAACAATTAAATGTACCGTATACAAAGTAAGGTAATGGTAAAAAATTGATTATGTAAAATAAACCATATGTTTGATACAAGGTTAAACCTATATTAATGATTTCCATTTCTGATTTTAATTTTGAAAACATATTTAAATTCCTTATTCTCTTTTATTGTAGAAAACGTATTTTTGACATATTTTGTATTGTTAAATCAGTATATTACCAAATTATTTCCTATAAAACACATACAAGAAGTGAACAAGTTAAAATATTACTAGACTAAAAATGAACATCTGAAGGTGTTTTTTTTTCTTTTACTTATTGTTCTATAAACATTAATCTATATGAACAAAAAAATAAAACAACCTGAATTCACCAGACTTAACACATTAATTGCCATGCTGAAAATATTCACAAAAATTTCACCAGTGGAAAATATTCACATTTACAAATAAATGAGATTATGACATCCCACAGTCGTACAGCATATCAATAATAACAATGTGGGACTGCTGGCGTCTGTAAAAAATATTTTTATTTTCTGATACTGTGCCGACTTTAGCTATGTGTTAAATTTGACAGTAGGTCAATAATAAAAATAATTGGGTAAAATCTTGATATAAAAATTCTATGTTATTAATTACTAATATTCAATACAATGTTATAAATACTTAATTATAACAGTACATTGAATACATAAAAATAATTATAAAAAATATATATTTGATTTTCAGATTTTTGGAGAATAATTATGATTCTTATTTGACTGTCGGTG